GAAGTCCCGTTCTTTGACGGTGAATATCCTATAGTACCAATGATACAAATGGAAGGTAACAGTGAAATAGTTCCTGAAATAGAATGTTGTTTATCAAACTTTCTCCTGGTTTCCATCTTTTTTTTTTTCTAAGCCTGATTTCTTAATGTTCCTATATATACTCTTTCAATGGCTTTGTAAATAACCACTTTTCTTTACTCCATATCCCTCTTTTAAGAAAAAATTGTTTTTGTTTTTTATTGGAAAGGCAGATACACACAAGGAGAGACAGAGAGAAAGGCTTTCTATCAGCTGGTTCACTCCCCAAGTGGTTGCAATTACCTGAGCTGAGCTGATCTGAAGCCAGGAGTCAGGAGTTTCTTCCAGGTCTCTCATGCAGGCGTAGGGTTGCCAGGCTTCAGACCATCCTCTATTGCGTTTCCAGGCCACAAGCAGAGAGCTGCATAGCAAATGAAGCAGTCAGGATGTGAACAGGTGCCATATGGGATCCTGGCAAGTGCAAGATGAGGGTTAAGACCACTAGGTTGTTGCACCAGGCCCACTCCATATCTCTCTTGCCCTTAAGGGATTAATTTAAAAATTCTTGCTATGTTTTCATAAGGCTTATTTAACAAAAAGATGCAAATATTGAGAATAAAAAAATGGTGAAGGTAAAGAGGAAGGTGGCAAACAAAAGATAGGTTTGATCATTAAATGAAGAAGGAATTTTTTTAAGAGGCAAATTTATGGAGAGATAAGGAGAGATAGATGGAGAGAGAGAGAGAGTGTGTGTGTGTGTGTGAGAGAGTCTTCCACCTATTGATGCCATCCTCAAATAATTGCAGTGGATGGGGCCAAATCAGAGCTGGGCTGGTTCGAAATTAAAAGTGAGCAGTTTCTTTGCATCTCCCACATGGATCAGAAGTGCAGCTGGAACTCAAACCAGCATCCATAGGAGATGCCTGCATTGTGGGTGGACGCCTACCTCGCTACACCATGGCATGACCCGCAGAATTCTTAAATTAATTAATAATGAATGACATCTGCTAGACAGCATCAGATTGGAGTCTTGTGTGATCAACAAACTCCAATAGCAGTGAAACATGCAGTAGAATGCCTTTAGAATAACCAGTCCTTGGAGGAGATTTCAATTCACACTTTACTGTTTTATAAACCAGATAAACATAAGGCTATAAAGTTAAAGTGCAGTACATTTTATTTAATAAGACATGTCAACAGGCTCTGATGCCTCCTGCATCTTTGACAGGTGCTGATTTGAATCCTGGATGCTCCCTATTTATTGTTTGGGAAAACCGTGGAGGATAGCTGAGGTCCTTGGAACCTGCACCCCTGTGGGGGATCTGGACGAAGCTCCTGACTCCTGGCTTCACATCAGCTCAGCTCTGCTTGTCGAGGCCTTTTGGAGCGTGAATCAGTGCATAGAAGACTCTTTCTGTCTTCTTCGTAACACTGTCTTTCAAATTTAAAAATTCGAAATCTTCCAAAAAATGTAATTTGTCTTCTTTTCTTTTTTTAAGTTGTATATTATGCTTCAAGAAGAACTTAAGGAAAATTGTGCAGGTCATTTTTTTTTTTTTAATTAACTGTAGTGCAGTGTAACCAGATGTTAAAGCCAAACTGATGGTAATCACTTGGACGATTGAGTTATACTGTTTAAAAATGACAGTAGGCAAAGAGATGGTACCTGAGTGGTCAGTTTATCATTAGAATGGGAGGAGGAAGTTAGCTAGTCCCAAACTTCTGAAGTTTGATTCGATACCAGATGCCATTGTGAATGATTTTGTCTTTTGAAGGAACTCCCCTGAGATGGAGCATAAAAGTTACCATCTCCACCATTAACTTGGGCAATTTTTTTCTTCCTCCTGCCACTGTGGCAGGAGTTCTGGGTTTCCCCTCTGCCCTGGACATATGGAACCCCCTCCTGCCACCGTGGCAGGAGCCCTTTTTCCCTAAATAAATCCTGCTTTGCAAACTAGAAAAAAATTTTAAAAAAATGACAGTAAGAACATGACATATCTAAACGGATGAGGTAAGTATTCAGTCGGGCTCACTGCAGCAGCCTGAAGCCCTCACCTTGTATGTGCTGGGACCCTATGTGGGCACAAGACTGTATCCTGGCTGCTCCACTTCCCATCCAGCTCCCTGCCTGTAGCCTGGGAAAGTAGGAGAGGATGGCCCAAAACCTTGGGACCCTGCAGCCACGTGGGAGACCTGGAGGGTTTTTTTTTCTTATTAATTTCTTCACTGACACTTAGGCCATACAGTAGCATCATTTTTTTTTAAGGAGGTTTTTTAATTTTCTTTTTCATTTCTTCAGCGACACATTGGTCATTCAGTAGTATATTATTTTTCTTCATGTTGCGAATTTCCTATTTTTCTTCATGTTGTTGATAGTTTTATGTTTCTTCATTGCACAGGATGCATAGTAACCATGTAATAAGGACTATTATATGAAAATGTGAAGACACAATTATGCATTCTCTACTTCCAAATCAGGGATGGACTCTCAATGACGCTATTAAATATATTTTACAATAGAATGCTGGACTCCCTGTCACTGTCCACACCTACAATATTAGGATATACTTACATAGCAGGATTTTGGACTTAGGACTGCTTGTGAAGGACTATATTACTGTAATAATATGAGCAAAATAAGTCGGCGGGGGGGAGGAGTGACCGGAAAAGCCAGAACCTATGGAAATGTTGGAAATGTGTCATAAAATAATGATAACAAAGGAAGAATGAATGAATGAAACACAATTAATGAAGCAATTTCATCTATTAAATGTGATCTACAAATAGAATCGTAGAGTAAAATGCAGAGCTCCATAAGGAAGTGGAGTGGGGAAAATATTCTCAGAAAATAAATTACATGTTAAAAACAACAGAAGGAATAGAAACATGGCTAGATAAGCTAGAAATATTTTTGAATGGAGAATAAATGAAAGCAAAATTAGCATCACGGTAAAGAGAATCTAAAAAGCAGGAGATAACATATTTGAATATAAACATAATACAAATTTCCATGAATATATACGTTGTGAAATAGACTATCATCCTAAAAAAATCCATTCAAGGCAGTCAATGTTTAGCAGTATTCTTTTAAATTTAATTTCAAAGACAGAAAATTTTTTGCAAACGCAGAAAGAGGGAGAAAGGTTAACAGAGAAGAAAACATAAAAACAGATCTACTCTTTTAGAAAAAGATTTCCTTACTTTTAAGATCAAAGATAACTGCAAACATGTCATCTCTCCTTGTCTCTCTGGTACACACACACACTCCGTGTAATAATAAAATTAACAATAACAACAAAAAGCATGAGCCTTTCTAGGTGAAGAAAGGCTCAAGTAAAAATGAACTTAATGGGCCCAGCGCGGTGGCACAGTGGTTAAGGTCCTCGTCTTGCACGCCCGGGATCCCATATGGACGCCGGTTCTATCCCAGTAGCCCCACTTCCCATCCAGCTCCCTGCCTGTGGCCCGGGAAAGCAGTTGAGGACAGCCCAAAGCTTTGGGAACCTGCACCCACCTGGGAGACCCGGAAGAGGCTCCTGGCTTCAGATTGGCATAGCATCGGCTGTTGCACTCACTTGGGGAGTGAATCATTGGACGTAAGATCTTCCTCTCTGTCTCTCCTCTCTGTATATCCGCCTTTCCAATAAAAATAAATCTTAAAAAAAAAATGAAATGAACCTAACAATAGCTGCACTAGAGACACGAGGAAAGCAGATTTGGGGTAACTACAAAGACGCTGCTTAGGATACTCAGATTTCATGTTGGAGCAGCTGGATTTGAGTTCTGTGTCTAAGTACAATTCTAGCTTCTTGCTGATGTGTTTCTGGGGAGCAACAGGTGACAAAGCTGGAGTGGAGGGATCTTAACCCTAACCCTAACCTTAACCCTAAGCCCTAACATTAACCTTAACTCTAAAACTATCCCTAACCTTAACCCTAACCCCTAATGCCTAACTCCTAACCAGAGCGCCCCAAGGGAGCTTTGGCTTGTCGCAATCCTGATTGTTATGAGAAATGAAATAGAAAAACATTATATGAGAGTGTTCTCTGTCTTATAAATAAATACACAAGTTAACCAAACAAACTGTGATAAAAGGGTGCAAATGAAAAAGAAGGGAAAAGGCATAAAAAAGCGTACGAGTACTAACACTGCCAAAGCAGAAGTTAGGAGTTTTAATCCAAATGAATGTGAATGTAATATGTGGAGTTTACACCTGAAGCAATAAACATCACATAATGAGATCGTTTGTAATAAGAAAAAATACTGATGATCATTAAAAATCCAAATTTACTAGTAACAAAAGAAAAAAAAATGGTCTCTAGTATTCCTATCCTGGAATCCAGGTTTTATATAAATCCATCTCCTTGGAGCTGAAACATCAAGGAAGGATTTTACATTGGTAATGAGAATTACTAATCAGCCGTCTTTGAGTTAGAAGGGAAATTATCTGAAGGGGGGATTACCTTCTTACATGAACCTGATAGGACAAAAACATCAGAGTCCGATACTGTCAGAATGCCCATGGAAGGGAGCAGATGGCATATGGGAAGGAGCGAGCAGCTTCTCGGAGCTGAGAGGTGCCCTCGACCACAGCAGCAAGCCTAAGGATCGGTCTGCAATCTTCAGGGAACGCTGCTGCCATCTGACCGGCATTGGAAGTGGATGCCGAGCCTCCCACCTGAGCTGACACCTGCCCTTGACCTGCGAGATAACTTGAGCAGAGAATATTGTTAAACTAAGAAACAATGTTCTGGTCTGCAGAATGCAAAGAAATAACAAATGGGTGTTTTTCTGACATTCAATTTGATTGAGCTTGACAAATAGCAGTCGGTAATTAATACAAATCCCGTACCATGTAATATAGTAGCATCGAAATTGGTGAAGAAAAAGGGAGCTAACGGAAAGTCACTGGTTTCTATATTAACACACACTCTTCTTTTTTCAGCATTAGTGGTGAAAGGATTTAATTGGCGTTTGTCAGCATGTCGTCCAAGAACCAAAGGACAAGTAAGGCTAAAGTAGAAATAGGAGTGTATGTGGGTGAGAGCGTGTGCCTGCTAGGGAATAGTGAAAGACCAAGAAAAAAGAAGGAGGAAGTGGTAGAGGCAGAGAGAGGTACGATTGCATGTCTGTTTCATCAATGGAAAAACTCACAAAACATGAAAGTCACCACGTGTGCGGATAGACTTTTCTGTGTAAATTTCAAAGAGAAGAAATCTCAGACCACAGCACCAAGCTGATAGAAGCAGTTTCATTGTATGTGATTCTATTTTTTTTTTTTTAAAGATTTTCTCTTATTATTATTGGAAAAGCAGATTTACAGAGAGAAGGAGAGACAGCGAGGGAAAGATCTTCCATCTGCTGGTTTGCTTCCCAAATGGCCATCACCGATGGTGCTGAGATGACCCAAAGCCATGAAGCAAGATCTTCTTCTGGGTCGGCCATGTGGATACAGGACCTCAAGGACCTCGGGCCATCCTCCTTTGCTTTCCCAGGTGATAAGCAGGGAGGTGCAAGAGAAGATGAGCAGCCGGGGCGTGAACTGGCACTCATGTGGGTTGTGGGCACTTACAGGTGGGGGACTAGCCTGTTGAGCCACTGCATCAGCCCGGTTCTATTTTCTGATAATATTGGAAGCTACTTCTACATAGCGATGGATTTTGTGTTTACTACATGAAGGCGTTGACTTCACAGCTACATCGTTGTATATCATCACAGCCAGATTGAACATCCGATGATAAACTTCTGCTTCAAAATTTAATTTTTTAGCAATTAATTTTAAGACCCATACTATCATTTCTCTTATTGAGCAACCCGATATATTTTAAATAAATATCACTTGATTTTAGTGCACTGCTCTTTTAATGCAATGTCATAGTCTACTAATTGCTTTGTTACGTGTGATTTAGAAATAGTCATAAAGAATTTAAGATGGACTTGAATGTGTATGTGTGTGTGTGTGTGGGGGGGTGCGATCTGCGTTGATCAGAGTTGGAAATAGAGTTCTGAGTTGAGAGTTGGAAATACAGTCTTTTTAATTATGATTCTTCTTTCTGCCGGATAGTAAGCAGTCTCCAGACTTTGCAATCCAGTATGAAATGGCACCACATGGTAAGTGAGATTTAGTTACATCAATGTAAGGGACCTTGATATGACTGAAATCTTTTGGGTGAAATATGACATATTCACTGGATCAGTGACAACGGTGTTCATCCCTCCAGCATCATCTATTCAAAAAAAAATTGAAGATTTATTCATTTTTATTGGAAAGTTGGATTTACATAGAGAAAGATCTTCCACACCCCAAGTGGCTGCAACAGCCAGAGCTGAGCTGATCCGAAGCCAGGAACCAGGAGCTTCTTCCGGGTCTCCCACGCGGATGTGGGGTTCCAAGGGTTTGGGCTGTCCTCTACTGCTTTCCCAGGGCACAAGCAGGGGAGCTGGATGGGAAGTGGAGCAGTCAGGATATGAACAAACATGCACATAGGATCCTGGTGCATACAAGGCAAGGACTTTAGCCACTAGGCTACAATGCTAGCCTCATCATCATCTTTTTTATGCCTTCTTTTCATTCCTTGAAAATAGCAACTCAGACGGTTTTTCCTACTTTTTCCACACCTGTGCTGCATTTCTTAACTTGTCTTTGCAACAGTCTCCTGCTCATATCCTTCCCTCCATGATCTGGAAACGTTTCCCATCAAGCTGCAGGCCCTACACCTAGCCCAGCTGGCTGCATTTGCTTGTCTGAGAAAAATATTGCTCTGCATTTTCCATTTCTACTTATCTTATCTTGCAAGGATTTCCAGGCATTTGGCTACTTTGCTAGTCCAACTTAAACTAGAAGACATAAGGAAGACATAAGGAAGACATAAGGAAGACCTTCTATCCTTGAAGACAGAATTGGAAGTGAAGATATTAAAACCAGTTGTGCTAGAATCCCCAGGTCAAAGTTTATGGTAATTAAACTGTTAGGAACAGTTGATGGAGAAGTCGATTTTATTCAAGAAATGAAAACAGTGACAGTAAAATCACATTATTAAATCGAGCTGTGTCAACATTTTCTAATTTTTATAGCGACTGGAGCCTGAAACATGAAGTTTGACATCTCATTCATCCCCACCTCACTCATTCATTCACTTAACCCACAAAATCTCTTTATCTGCCATTAATCAAATATTATACTATCCTTTTGATGTAAGAAGTAAAATAAAACTCAAGCCCTGGCTTCAAATCGATTTTGAGGATACTTTCATGAAGGAGAACCTTTCAGTGTCAGTAATTAGAGATTGGTGTAAGTATTTTTTTTAAAGATTTATTTATTTATTTATTGGAAAGTCAGATATACAGAGAGGAGGAGAGACAGAGAGGAAGATCTTCCATGCAATGATTCACTCCCCAAGTGAGCATAATGGCCAATGCTATGCCAATTCGAAGCCAGGATCCAGGAACTTCTTCCAGGTCTCCCAAGCGGGTGCAGGGTCCCAAGGCTTTGGGCCGTCCTCGACTGCTTTCCCAGGCCACAAGCAGGGAGCTGGATGGGAAGTGGAGCTGCTGGGATTAGAACCGGCGTCCATATGGGATCCTGGGGCGTTCAAGGTGAGGACTTTAGCCGCTAGGCCACGCCATCGGGCCCGATTGGTGTAAGTCTTAAGCAGGACAAGCGTGCAGCACATGTGGATTCCTTAACATCTATCGGCAGATGGAATACGTGAAGGGAGAGGAAAGAACAGAACGGCTCAAGAGAGGAATCAAACAGAAAGATACATTTGCAGAATAACCAATCACATGTTATCCCCCAGCAATCAGACTCTAAGGTGAAATTTTGTCTCCAGAAATTTCTTGGATTTGCTCTTTGGGAATGATGGATGGATCCGACGGGGCAATCAGGGTTGGATAAAGAGAGAAATGGAACTGCAATTCCGTGGCAAGGCAGGTTTCAAACACCCTTCAGTGACTCTTGTCCAGTGATGGCTGTTCTTATTTTTAGAGAGGAACTGAGACTTTTTGTCCTTATGTTAAAGAGGTATTAGGTATAGTTTGTTTTCAGAGAGGGGACATACTCTTAGGTGAGGAGAGAGTTTGATGAAGGAAATTCGCATACTGTTCATCTGGAAGTTGCCAACACTCAGAAGGAAGGGAAAGAGTGTTTGAATTCCAAGATAGAGGTGTACCTGGTGTCCCATGGCACCTACTTACGGCAACGAGTATATCCCAAGCTCATGTGAGGAGACGCTGTGGGTGTTGTGGGTAAGAGTGACGTTTTGGGCAGATGCCCACTCTCAAAATTCTTCAGAGCTTTGCCAAGGAGTTCAAAACTGCGAAGATTTAATGATGTAAGGGAGTGTCTTACTCCAACAGAATTCTAGATTATGTAAAATAAACAGAAGCGTTGCCAGATACCGCAGGCATCTCAGTCATCTCACTGGGAGCTTCTGCCCACTGGGAACACCCTGTGCAAGGGCCAAGGGGATGTGTATTTCATGATTTCTAAAATAAAGATCTATGTGTAATTAGCTTCATTCAGAACATGTACCTGAGTCTTGATCTAGGATTCCATAAAATCCTAGATTCTATGGAATTGTATCATAAACCAAGAAAATGAAATAAAATAGCAAGTGCCAAATCTCTAGGAATACGGCTACCTCTTAGGAGAGCTGTTGGTGACCACAACTTCTTGGGTCAGAAGCAATGAGAAACAGGCAAGAGATATGAAAGTGTGCTGTGGCTGACAACAGGTTCCTTATGTCTCTGTCACAACAGAGAAACAAAGATAGGGGAAACTCAGGGGAATAGGGGACAGGCAACTCAACGCAGGGAATTTATAACGTGCTGGGCCTAGATGCTTGGAATGAAAGACTTCTTCATTCTTCACAGTTGTTGGGGGGAAGTCCTGGGGTCAGTTACCCCCACTTTGCAAACGGGGAAGCAGAACCTAAAGATGACCCATCAAGTTGCCAAGTGGCAGAGTCACAACACAAACTCAAGGAATCCAGTGACAGAAGCACTGCTCTAAAACCCAACGCTGACCATAAAAACCCCAAACTGTGCTTTCCCTGGGGCTTGGGGAAGACTTGTGAACAAAGTATGCAGTTCAACATTTTTAAATAAGAAGATTCTAGCTTCCTGATGACAAGGAGCCTGTTCTGATCATCCAAAGTGATGGAAAATTTTTGTGTTTGGACTTGAAATAGTCAATGCAGAAGAAAGCTTTGTGGCAACAAACGATGGGGAAGAGGGAGAAACACAGTGACAAAGGTAGCACAAAATGAAACAATTATGCCCTTCTTGTACCCTGGAAATGATAACTGCTATTCAAAACGAGTAGTGTTAGCATGCCTACTAATGCCTGTTCCTGGACGAGGCACAGAGAACCACTACCTGGAACCATGGCATTGGACCTGCCAAGAGGAAACACTTGGAAACTGCCTAATGTGCCCCTTTGTACTGTGCTGTACACATGTTCCTTTTTTTTTAGAATCTGCATTAGTAAAATTGGCACAGCACTTTCAAAGTTCCATCAAAGGGATAGTTCTAGAGATAATCCACTTTTCATGGTTGGACCAAGCTGCAAGTCTGCATCTAAAACTGCAATGACGGGCCCGGCGGAGTGGCCTAGTGGCTAAAGTCCTCGCCTTGAACGCCCCGGGATCCCAAATGGGCACTGGTTCTAATCCCGGTTGCTCCACTTCCCATCCAGCTCCCTGCTTGTGGCCTGGGAAAGCAGTAGATGACGGCCCAAAGCTTTGGGATCCTGCACCCGTGTGGGATACCTGAAAGCAGTTCCTGGTTCCCGGCTTTAGATTGGCACAGTACCAGCCGTTGCGCTCACTTGGGGAGTGAATCATTGCATGGAAGATCTTTCTCTCTGTCTCACCTCCTCTCTGTATATCTGACTTTGTAATAAAAATAAATAAATCTTTAAATAAATAAATAAATAAATAAAAATGTAATGAATCTCTTGTTCTTGTATGTTGGCAACACCCGCGTCGCCACGTACCCCGAGCTCCGAGTTGAGCGGAGGGACTAGGGTTATGAGACAGACAAGACAGACAAGACAGACAACACACAGACACAGTGGGTCATTCATGTGAGGAGAATGCCCATTTATTTGAAGTCAAGCTGCATCTTTTATAGTCTGCTTGGCCCCTCCCAGGATCCTCCCAATGGTTAAGCCACACCTAAGCTCCCCCAAGGACATGCAACAATGGGAAGCAGGAAGGAGGGAAATTGCAGTGGAGCCACAGGCTAAATGTATCAGGCCATGATTGCCCTTTCTGTTACACCCTTGAGAAACAAGCTGTGCTGTGGAGTTAACCCTTGGGAGACCGGGGCCTACACTTGTAAAGGGATTATTATGCATATTGGTGAATGTCCCTCACAAATCTTCCACTTTAATTATTTTCTTTTAGCCTTAATACAATATCATTCATTTCATTCCTTTGCCCTTAAACCGCCAAAATTCTTTATTTCTGTGGTGGAGATGGATGCCCTAGTAAGAACGTAGAAATCAAGATAATAGCTTTCAATTTGAATTTGCCAACTCTTGATTTTCCTCTAATTAGAATTGTAAAGTGGGGATTTGCCAATGGTAACTGTGTATACACAAACACACACACACCCACACACACACAAAGCAGTTTATTTAACTCACAGTACTAGAGAACCAAGGGCTCACCACTGACAACTACTCCACCTTCGTGAAGTCCCTGTGGTGGATTCGGTGGATGCGACACTATGGCAGGGACACATGCAAGAGCCAGAGGTCACAGCACAAGGCAGGAGACTGGAGAGTGTGGGTGACCCAGTCTACCTTTTATAACAACCCTCTCAGACGTCCCATAAGAACTACTTTATACTTTAATCCCTTCCATGGAAAGCCTCCAGTAACCATCACTCTATTATTTCATATCCCTTTCCAAGTTTCCAACACATGTTCGCCGCTCCAGATGGAGGCAAACCATATCTTAATCACAGCACTCTCAGTGAGAGATGACCCTACTATCTGTTAGAAGTATAATAGTTGAGGCCCAGTGCGGTAGTCTAGTAACTAAAGTTCTTGCCTTGCACGTGTCCATTATCCCATGTGGGCACCAGTTCTTGTCTCAGTGGCCCTGTTTCCCATCCAGCTCCTTGCTTATGGCCTGGGAAAGCAGTGGAGGACAGCCCAAGGCTTTGGTACCCTGCACCCTCGTGGGAGACTCTTAGGAGGCTCCTGGCTTAGGGTTGGCTCAGCTCTGGCCGTTGTGGTCACTTGGGGAGTGAACCATTGGACGGAAGATCTTCCTCTCTGTCTCTCTTCCTCTTTGGATATCCACCTTTCCAATAAAAACAGAAGAAAAAAAAAGAATAAACTCCATTATATATCATCCATATTTTCTTTATCCAAGCCAATTCCAAGTCTTGCCCTTGGGAACAATGCTTCCCAGAACAAGACAGCACAGGCGTCTCTGAAATAACAATTTTGGGTGTGTATTCCTAAGTGACATTGCTGGATCACATGACAGTTACACTTTTAATAATTTCTTAGTTCCACAGTATTTTCCATTCTGGCTATTTTTATTCCCATCAACAGTATATGAAGATTCTCTTTTCTCTGTCCCCTCAACAGCATTTGTCAATTTCTTGTTTTTTTTTTTTTAAGATTATTCATCTTAAGAAGTGTGAGGTGAGAGTAATCATTGATGTTGAGCAGCATTTTCATATACCTGTTGAGCCATTGATGTATCTTTTTTTTTTGAAAAATCGCTACTCCGTTTTTTTCTTTTTTTGGCAATTTTAAACATTTTGACTTTAAATTTTAATTATTTGCTTTTGTTCTTTTTTCTTCTAAGTGTTTCCACATGTTAAATTGCAGTGCGTTGTCAGGAATGCGACTTTCAAACGCTTTTTATTCCATCGGTGACTTTTCATTTTTGTTGATTCTTTTCTGTGCAGAAACTTCAGCTTTATGAAATCTCCCTTTTGTGTTTAATTTGCTTGTCCATATTCCAAAAATGTCAATTTCAATAGAATATTAAACTTGATTTTCTATAGTTTCTTGTAGTAATTTTCCTGTGTCAGGAATTAGGGTTGGGTTTTTGAGCCGTTATTGGCTTGATTTTTTTTTTTAATTTTTAATTGTTAATAACATTGTATTATGTGAAACAGTTTTATAGGCACTGGGACTCCCCCCACCCCACCCACAACCCTCCCCCCATGGTTGGCTTGATTTTTACAAATGGCGTAAAGATGATCGGATTTGGTTTCTCTGCCTGTGTGTTTCTAATTGTCTTAACATTAATCGGAGTGACGATCCTTCCCCATTGTGTGTTGTTGGCATCCTAACAGAGTTGATTAGCCTCATCCTGTTAAGCTACGAACCCGCATTTATACCTGTCCATACAGTCGAAACTACTGTAGCTTAAGTCGTGCAACAAATCAGACGGGGCAGTCGCCTCCAGCTTTAGTCTTCTTTTCAATGTTCTCTTGGCTAACTGAATCCTATCATTCCTGAAAACCGTTATGATATGTTAATGGAATTGTTTTAACTATCTTTTTAAAATGTTAGACAGCCATATACTGACTTTGATTTTCCTTGAATAGCATGAGTTTAATCATTTCTTCAGCAAGCCTGAATTAAATGGCTCTGCTGGCATTTGAAAAAAAAAAAAAAAAGATGTATTTGTTCTTATTGGAAAGGCAGATGAGATTTAGAGAGAGACAGAAAGCTCTTGCATCTGCTGGTGCAATCCCCGAATGGCCTCAATGGCCAGAAAGGAGTGGATCTCGAGCCAGGTGGCAGAGCTGTTTCTGGGGCTTCCATGCGGGTACAGAGTTCCAAGGCCTCGGGCCGTCCTCTGCTGATTTTTAGGCCTCAAGCAGGGAGCTGGATTGGACATGGAGCAGCTGGACCAGACACTAGTGTCCATATTGAATTCCAGCGCTTGCAAGATGAGGACTCAGCCATTGAGCCATTGCGCTGAGCTCTCTGCCTGCGTGTCTGTAGGGAGACTCCGCACTGAGTTCCAGTTAACAGGGGACTTCAGAAGTGTGCCTGGGAAGGAGGCTCTCTAACCCCATGCCATCTAGGGATGCAAATGACAGAAAAACAGCGGGGATTGGAAAAGCCCACCGCTTGGGCAGACATGCTAGCTAGCTTAAATTATACATTTTCTGATCTCAACATTTCTGAGAATCCTTGAGGTTGTTTTCAAGCATGATTGAGCCTCTTTAGTTTCTATAAAATGGAGAATTCACTGCAGTGTTGTGCACTTCACTGACTATAATCATTGATTTTACTCTTCTGTGGTGCATAGGAGAATAAAGCTGCAAGTTTGTGGGAAGCATATACAGGCATGATTTCTTATCAGTCCATGATCCTAGCCACAAACTCCAGGTATAATTTTTTTCATGTTCTCTTTTTTTCATTGAATATCATGAAAACTTTAGCTTTCAAAAATATCACAATTGTGAAAAAAAAAAAGTTGAAAAATACTCCAAATTCAGCAACATCTACCTTGGTCTCAATATTTCCCCCCCATCTTTCTGTGTTACATGGGTCAACCGGTAATCTTTCCAGCTGGTGATGGGCATATTTGCTTTGCATTGAATTTAAGGGTGCAGCTATCCTCAATTCAGAAATGTAGAATTAATACGTAAAAAGTGTAGTACCATCAATTAGAAATTGTGGTATCACACAGTTGGACTCCGAAAGCTTAGTGTCGGTTTGCGGACATGACTGGGAGTGTAACAATATTTCACAAAAGTATGTGTATGGAGAAACCTATCTAATTTCAAAAGAATCTTTTGCGGATGATAACTATGAGAAAATTCATTCCTTCATATTTAAAATGCCACCTGTCATTTTAAAGAGCATATGTAGCACGTGCGTTAAATGTAAAAACAAGCCCTGGCCCTCACTTTCCAGTCCTTTTATCACCAGAAGAGAGTTCCTAATGTTAGGGGACATTTGTGTTTGTTAAGCATTTAATCATCATAGTTTTTTTTCTTGACAGCTATGTGGAGCCTGCTATACAGTACGAAATTCAACTGCAGCTGATAGAGTTGTCCTTTAAAATGGTGTTTTCCATACCAAGTCTTGAGGAAGTGAAAGCGAGGGGGACTGGTGCTGAGGATACAACAGACCTGGTGGTAAGCTGTACTTTCCTTGCATCGTAAGAATACCATGGCAGGCACCACAGCCTTCCTGCATGTTGCATCTCAGAGGGTACAGTCTTTATTATTTTCTCCTTGGATTTTCTTAGATAGAATGAGGCAATCGTCTTTTCTAGAACAAATTTCTATCTCTGGTATCGGGGTCCCTCATCCCGCGAGCAAGACCCCGATACGGTAAAGACTCTTTGAAAAGTTTATTTCTGTGGACTTCAAGGGTAGCGGCAAAGTGAAAGCAGTTACAGCAGTTGTAAGAGTTATTGCTTAAGACTTCAAGCGTAGCAGCAAAGCGAAAGCAGTTACAGCCCTAGCGATAGCCACACGCCTGGGGGAATCTCCTCTTTAACTATTTTTTACCCACAACTTTTTTACATTACACAAACCAATCCATACACAGCTCCTCACATCATGCGGCAAGCACACCAATCATGACTTAGGTCACGCAGCTTCCCTGCGTGCTCGTCCCAATCCTCAGTAACTTCCCGAAACCTGTTTACCACCTTTGTGCCACGAAACAATGATCAACAAGTGCCATCTTTGAGGCGCGGCTCCGCTCTCCACACTCTGGATTTTGTATGAATTCCACAAACCATAGGACTTCATAAATTACATAGGACTTCAAGGAGCAAACGGATACAGATGCTCTCAGTGATAGCAGAGTTTATGAGCAGGTGCTACCAAGAAGGGAATGGGAGCAGAGGGAAGTGGAGATAGGAAAAATCCTCTGGGAAGATCAGCAATATCTCTGGTTTCTGCTTTACATTTCTGTGAGTGTGCTTGCTTCGTAAGCTGGGAAAGAAATTGTTGCTGTGAGGCTCTGAGTGTGGTAACGTTAGCATGGCCACTTCTTCCTTACCTTCAGTTTATGGGGTGGTGGACTGCAGACATCTGATGCAAAACTATGAATTTTAGTTGTGATTGAACAGATAGCTCTAGGACTTTTTTGTATTCCAGAGTTTACACCAAAATACTTTAAACATATATGAAGACACTCTTCTCATCTTAGTATCTAAAGATCTCTACAAACTACAGATCTTAAAGGTAAAGTAAAAGAAAATAAGACATTTTACTGTTTTTTCCAAAACTTTTCGTGATAATTACATGTTTGAGCATGGTGGGAAGGCTTCAGGATTAGGGATAAGTGGATGAAATCATTATTTCCAAATTTTCTGTTTCTGGGGAAAAGGGGAGAGATAAAGGGGGAAGCTACACTTGGCTTCCCAAATGTCCCAGGACCCAGGGATGGGGAACCGCCATGCAACATCAACCCAGGGGGTATGCTGTCTGTTTCACTGATCCAATGATGTAGTCCATCCAATGTCCATTGGCTGCTCTAGTCAAGCTCAAGTTTCCACTCACCCAGATTTTGATCATCATTTAGTTGGGATAGTTGTCCGATTTGCTCCGTTCTCTTTCTGCTATGGTACCAAATGGGCTGCCATATTCTCCGTGTACATCTGGGTCTGTGTCCACTGCTCCATCTTTTTCACTGAAGAGGTCATATTCTTGCAGATGAGTCCAAGGACCTGGGACAGGCGACCCAAGCCCCACCCGATCCCCAGGCCCTGGGAGCACAAACCCAGGACCTGAGCCAGGTGGCTGGAGCCCCACTGGATCCTCCACCCTCAAGGGTCACAAACCCAGCACCCCCATGCAGGCAGGCCAAGAGAACCAGGTCAGGTGACCAGAGCCTTGCCAGATCCCTGACCCTAGGGCTCACGAACATGTCACTCCCCACCCCCTTTGCAGACAGGCCACGAGACCCTGACCAGGTAACCTGAGCCTCACCAGATCCCCAACCTTCAGGGATCATGAACCTGGCACCTACCTCACAGGTGGGCACAGGGGCTTCAGGCCAGGTGACCTGAGTCTGGCCCAATCCCCCACCACTGGGGCTCATGAATGTGGCACCTCCACACAGGTGGACCCAGGACCCGCGTCAAGCTACTCGAACCCTGCCAGATCCCCTGGGGCTCATGAACCCAGCACCTACCTGCTAGGCAGGTCCCAGGACCCAGGCCAGGCAACCTGAGCCCCACCAGACCCTTGGCTCATGAATCTGACACCACCTACCCCACGCTGACATGATCCTCTTACCTCAGTATCCACCATCTTATCGTGCAGCCTGGCGAGTCTAATCTGCTCCCAGTTCCGGCTCCTGCTAGTGGGTGCTGCAGCCTATCCCAGCCCAGCCTGATCCTTGTCCCAGCCCTAATGTGAACTGGCTGGTGTTGTGGCCTCACCTGGCTCCTCCTGCATCCTGTCCTGGTTCTCAGATCTGCTGGTGATGTTACATATTTACCCAGCCTGGTCTGTCCCCAGACTTGATCTACAGTACTGTTACCTGGCATGGTCTTGGCTGCTCCTTGCTTTGACACTTGCACTCATCCACAGGGATTGCATCCTGATGAAGGAGTTTTCTAAGCTTCTCTATTGGGTTTCCACCCAGTGGCAGTTCTGCACACCTATGGGTCCTTGGCCACCTCCTGTCCTAGCAAAAACATTGGCTTTGCTCAACTGGCCCACACCCTTTCTGGTTTTTAATTGTTGGGTGTTGCATCCCAGCAATACCTGGTCCGCACCCAAACACAACTTTCGTATGGTTCAGCAGGGGTCAAGACCTAACCCAGCTTATTCTACACCCATCCTGGCTCTCATAAGTACCAGTGAGTGCTGGAATCTAACCCAGTCTGCCAGTTCCCAGACCCAGTCCACATCTGCACTGATGGAGGCTGTAGCCATGTCCAGCCCATCCTACTACCACCAATCTGGCTCTCATTCTCATTAGTGGAAATCACAACCAGTTGGGGCATCCCCTTAGCTCCCTAGCCAGGCTTGTTCCCATCTACAGCTCTTGGGCATGCCAACAAAGATTGCAGTTCCACAGGGGTGAGCCCACATCTCTCCCACATAGTCTGCTACCAGACCTGATTCTCTCACATACTAATATCATCATGGCCCTTCCTAACATAACATCCCCCACCTCCTGTTCTGACTCTCACTGGTAGGCCCCAGCCTTAAATTTAGCATATGCCAGTGAGTGGTGCTAACTACCCAGCTCAGGTCGTCCATGTGTGCTCAAACTTCAGCCTGGCCATTAAAGGCCCTCCTGCGTCTCCCCCTAAAACCATTTGGTCTCAGCCCATCTCTCACATCCACGTACAGCGGCCTTATCAATGGAAGTCCCTCAGCAGTAATTCATCACCTGGGCTTGAACCCACGTGTCATAAATCACCACCACCTGTGCTATCCTCTTTTCCCATGAAAATCCAAACCCTCTAAATCCCCAGAATGCACCACAAGGTGTCCCAAAGGCTTTACCTAATGCCATTGGAGCCTGGACCACCGGGCCCTCACCAGGGGAGCCACATGGCCCAATTGATGCACTTGTGGTAGTCAAAAAGCCTCCAGGCTGGGAAGAACCTGAAAGTCAAGTCTCCCTTCCCCCAAGGAGCCATTCCACTCGGCTGTTCGTGCCTGTGGCGGTCACTGAAATTTTATCGTTCTGAACACAAGGAGAGAACTCACTTATTTCCCATGTGTCATGTTTGCATCTCTTTCAAGCACTTGTCTTCACCTAACAGGGAGTAAAATTAGTTCCAAAATGAAACAGTTTTCCTTTACTTCAACTATAGAGGCATACATCTTAAGAAATAAATTTTGAGGAGATGGATGCTCTTATTTGTTATTATTATTGTTATTATTTTGTGATACAGTTCCATAGGCTCTGGGATTTCCTGTTCCCCTCCCCAAGTCCCTTCCCTCCTATTGATTTCCCCCCTAGTATTACAATGGTTAGTTCTTCATGAGGAGTCATAAAGCCATCATTTCACTATTGAAGTGTTTCCCCGAGACTGTAGGCATGGACAGTGTCGGAGAGTCCAGCACCCTACACTCACGCTTTATTCAGCAATTTTACTTGAAGTCCATCTTTGATCTGGATGCAGAGATGCACACTGCGCTATGCTTCCGCATCTGGAAATGTCAGTTCCTGCTACACTTGTACTACACATCCCCTTAAATACAGAGCCAGAAAACACAATCCACAACAGGGAGGAAAACAGGAAATCTACATCAACATGAAGTCAAACAACATGCTTCATGGAATGAAGACGGCGGAATAGGATGGGGACACGTTTAAATGGATGGAAAAACATTTAATCAGGATGAAGCAGAGAGGATACTTTCCAGGAAATAGGAAAGGACAGAACAACAGCAGAGGGGTACCTGGAGGCTGACAGACACACGAAAGCAGTGGGAATAGCGGTGTGGGGTTGTGGTGACTGATACTCCAGTGCCATTCAGCTAATGGTCATCTGAACTCCACCAGCAGCCGGAACTCAACCAGCAACCGGGTGGGAAGGGACTTTCACTGGGAGCTTGGGAGGTGAATCCAGACAAAGAACTGTCTGACCTGCTGGTCTGTTTGATTTGACCAGAAGCAGAAACAGAGCAACAGATCCCAGATGGATGGATCTGTCAGCCCCCTAGACCTGAACTGGGCACCATTTTGCATAAGAAGGCAAAGGCAAGGGAAAGGACTGAGCATAAACTGAGCTGGGAGTAAACTCATTCCTGACTCAGTGAACTGCATCAACGTGGCATTCTACAGGTTCCACCCAAGACACGTCTGGGGAGTCCTCAGATCTGATGGCCAGCAGATCAAGAACTCTAGTAGTGGCACATCATATGCCATTTTTTACACTATGGCAAACATTTAGGACTGCAGGGGACAACAGTGAACTATGCATGTGCCGAGCTCGTGAGAACTCACCGAGTTCAGTGGATTGCACTGGTCCCACAGGAAAATAATACAGAGTGTGGCATTGTACGGGTCAAAATAGGTCCATGTGGCACCCAGACCTAACGTTCAACAGGTTCTGGCAAGATCAGCACCACCGACAGCCTAGCTATATAAGACACCTGGTGTCTCCCTAATCCTGGGACCTGCTCCAACTGAAAGTGGGAGAAAGGTTGCAGAGACAACAGTGCAACCTCAGTATGGTATCACAGCAGGTGGAGAGTGGTGAGTCAGGAGCTGAGGCTGTGGATACCATAGTGGAAATCTAACATAAGAAGCCAGACCTGAAACTTGCTGGAAGGAATGAGGATACAATGCAGTATACATTTCTACTTCCTGAAAAAGATGGACTTACAATGAAATTGTTCACTCTATCTTGACCATAGGGTGCTGGACTCTCTGCCATTGTCCATGCCCGCAATGATGGACATAAGACTGTGTATGAAGAACTATACTTTAGTAATGATATAGAGGACCTGGGGGGATGGGATTGGGGCTAGGATAAGGGAACTACCAGGAGCCTATGGAACTGTTTCGTAAAATGATAATAATAAAAAATAAATAAATATAGTGAAAAAATAAACAACAGGCTGCAGAATGACAAAGAAATTAAAAAACTTTCTTGTAGAAATTATTGCTACCATATTACCCATGTGGTGCTGAAGAAATAACAGCAAAAACAAGAATATCAATGGCCATAAGATGTATCAAGAACAGTATTGAAAGGGACATTTACAACATCATGTGCTTAAAAACAACCAAAATAGGTCTCATATAAATGACCTATTAATGATTCACAGGGCCTTACTGAGAAAGACACAAATGAATAGGAAACATGAAGAGGTAAAATTTATAGCAAAAGTAATTGGAATTGAAACAAAAAAAAAAATCATGCATTCTCTTTTAACCACCCAATGCCACCATCAGCAACTTTCATTGATTGAGCATTTAATCTGTGTCAGATACCCTGTTGAGCCTATGGTTAATCTCATTTAATCCTAACAATAATCCTATGAAAACTTTAGTATTAACACTCTTATTTCCTAGTAAGAAAATGGAAAGAGAAAAGGGGGTAAAACAGTATGTAATACTGACGTGTGGAGGAGCCACCCTCATTTGGGAGTCTGCTACTTAATCACTTGGTTCTTTATCACACCTAACTTTCCCCACCCCTGCCAAAAAAGACTGGGAATTCACGTTTACAATAAGCAGAAACTGATACCTTGGAGACTTAGAAACTCTTCTGTTTTAGGAAATCAACCTCAGAGGAGTTTCCACAACAGGTGTGACAAGAGTGGACAGATTGGCCAACCACTGGCTAATATAAAATGGACTATAACAGGATCTTAAGAGTCTGTTAATATTGCCTTGTGAGATATGCACAAATCTTTCTCATTACCAAGATTAGAAATTGTTCTTGTACCTAAAGATTTAGCACAAATAGAAAGCCTGGCAAGACAGAGTTTTTTTTTTTTTTAAGATACATTTATTTTTATTGGAAAGAGAAACATAGAGAGGAGGCGAGACAGAGGGGGAGATCTTCCATCTGTTGATTCACTCCCCAAGTGGCCACATGACTGGAGCTGAGCTGATCTGCAGCCATGAACCAGGAACCAGGAACTTCTTCCAGGTTTCCCACATGGATGCAGGATCCCAAGGCTTTGGACAGTCCTTGACTGCTTTCCCAGGCCACAAACAGGAAGCTGGAAGGGAAGTGGGGCAGCTGGGACACAGCACAGCACCCATATGGGATCCTGGTGCATGCAAGGCAAGGATTTTAGCCGCTAGACTACAGCACCATCCAAGACAGATTTTTCATTGTAATGAGTGAGAACTTTCTAGCCGAGCTGTCTCTTCATGGTATTCTCTAACAATTAGCCAGGAGACCTCCAGATGGTGAATTTGCAAAATAATTATGAGCAAAAATGCCTCTTTAGGATCAAATAAAAGTTCAATTCTGTTTTAAAATTGAAAGGCATATTATGTCTTTTTCCTTTTTCAAAAAGTAGTCACGGTTCAAGAAAATGAAGGGATGTGACAGTTGGTTGCTGAGCATTTCATATTGCCGGACAGTGACTCTTGCAGTACTATTAGTAAATACATAACAGCAATGAATCATACAAAATCAAGATGTGGTTGTTACGGTCGATATGATAGAACCCTACATGCATTTTTGAGCTAAATTAAGTATGAAATAATCAATAGAACGTAGGAACTCCTGTAATGGAGAAGTTAGAAACGAGCAAGAGGGGGACTTCAGGATATGGACATGGCATGGTTCTGGAGTGATGTTTGCATTTCCAACAGGAGATGGCTGTGTGGATGAGTAAGGACCGTTTCTACCTGCAGGCGAGAGTGATGGTGACCATCAGCAGGGTGCTGAGCTTCGCATCCAAGAAGGTCTGTGGCTATGTAAGTACCCAGATGCAAAAATGTCGCTCACTTTGAGAACTGAATTTCTGTAGCACTACTCACTCGGTCTTGGGTCTGGAGAGCAGTAGGTGCCGCCTGGTAGGATGGCACCCACAGGTTGGTGTGTTCAGAAAGGAGTCGATATCTTGCAGGGTTTGCATTGATATGAGGAGAAGGACTCAGACATTTGATAAACATGCATTTTACTTCACAGAAATAATCGGAATGAGCCAAGCTGAATATTTTATCCAATTTCTTGATTTCTCTGTGCATCAGAATCAATGTTATTTCTAAATGCCTTATTATCTTTCCCTTATCTGCATGTTCATGCTCTTCTTTTGTCTCGAGATTAATAGATTATTTTTTTATTTTAAAAAATGTTAACATGTAATTCTCAAGCGCTTTCATGTTAAAGCTGCTAGAAATACAAGTTACATTTCCCTTTGTTTATTTTTAAAGATTTAGCTATTTTTATTGGGAAGTAAGATCTACAGAGAGGAGGACAGACAGAGAGGAAGAACATCTGCTGATTCATTCCCCAAGTGGCCACAACAACGGAGCAGAGCCGATCTACAGCCAGGAGCCAGGAGCTTCTTCTGGGTCTTCCTTGTGCGTGCAGCGTCCCAAGGCTTTGGACCATCCTAGACAGCTTTCTCAAGCCACAGGCAGGGAGCTGGAAGGGAAGCAGGATAGCCAGGGCATGTATGGGATCCAGGGCGTGTGCAAGGTGAGGACTTTACCTGCTAGGCTACTGTGCCAGCCCTATGCCTGCCTTTATTACTGTGCCCACCAGGCAGTCCTTAGCCTTCTCAGTGTGAGCTGCGCCCTGCCTCCTATGCACGCATCCATGAACACATGCATACATGGAGATGCACTGCATTATTGCTTAGTGCTTTTTTGCATCCTATCCGCGTGTAGTTCTGCTGCTTCTGCCCCTGGCTTTTCTTCTCTGAGCGATAATATCCTAATGTTTTCATGTCAATATATGCAGATTTATTTTTTTGAAAGACTCGTTTGACTAAGTTGAAATAGAGAAGAGTCTTGCATCCACTGGTTCACTATCCAAATGTTTGCAACAGCCAAATACCAGGCCAAAGCCAGGAGCCAAGAACTCCTTCTGGACCTCCCACATGAGGAGTCAGGGGCCCACACACTTGACTCCATCGCCGTGCTTTCCCAAACACATGAGCAGGGAATTGGGTTGAAAATGGACCAGCCATGACTGAAGTCATTGCCCGAATGGGATTCGAGTGTTTGAGGCTGCAGCTTAACCATTGGGGCCACAGCATCAGCCTTCACAGGGAGTTTTTAAATATACTCTTCCAATGGCTTGTCTGATTGTTTGAGTCATTGGAGAAGCGTTCAAGTTTCAAGGAGGCTGCAGATATAAAATATCTCATGTCACCATTTAAAAAAAATTTTTTTTTACTATTTTTTAAAGATGTATTATTATTATTATTATTATTATTTTATTGGAAAGGCGGATATACAGAGAGGAGAGACAGAGAGGAAGATCTTCCGTCCGATGATTCACTCCCCAAGTGAGCACAACGGCCGATGCTATGCCGATCCAAAGCCAGGAGCCTCTCGCACGCGGGTGCAGGGTCCCAAAGCTTTGGGCCGTCCTCCACTGCTTTCCCGGGCCACAAGCAGGGAGCTGGAAGGGAAGCGGGGCTGCCGGGATAGAACCGGCGCCCATATGGGATCCGGGCGTGCAAGGCGAGAACCTTAACCACTGAGCCACCGCGCCGGGCCTTTTTTTTTTTTTTTTTTTTTTTTTTTTTTTTTTTTTACTATTTTTACAGCCAGATCTTAGATACACTCAAACAATTCCAGATAAAACCTATCGCATATCTGAAGATGCACTGTTTTGTTGGAATTCTATTTTTGTGGTCTTCCATTTCAGTGCTCCAAAGAAGAGCTAAGTATCATGTTTAACAGGTTTGAATCGCTCATCTGCGAAGGCCCACACTCCCTACCTCTAAAACGATTTGAGCTCTCCATACAAAGGTACAGGTGGTTCAGCAAAGAAAAATCACCGCTCAAGCCTATGACCTGTACGGTCCCCTGTGAATGTGATGTTGTCACCAAGCATCTGATGACAACGTTGTGCTAGTCACAGGTGGTTCTTTGATTTGAATATCTTATCCTAGTGAGTTGCACTAGAGGAGCACGTGACGGCGGTTTGTCATGCTGTCTTTTGTAACTCTGTGGCTTCCTCATCTTCCTGTGATGGGTTTGTTTATTTGACCTGCAGAGTGACAGAGAGAGAGAGATTGTCCATCCTCTGGGTCATTCCCCAAACGCTCACTACATTCAGGGCCAGACCAGGTCAATGATTTAGGGAATAATCTAGATCTCCCACGTGAATGGCAGCATTTCAAGCCACGGAACCATCATCCGTTGCCTTCCCAAGGGCATTAGAAGGAAGCTCTATCAGCAGCACAGAATAGCCAGGTTTCAGCTGGGATGCCTGGAACACAAATGGCAGCTTAAGCTGCTACACCACAACGTCTATTCCCTTCTTCCATCCCTGCATTGCTATTGCAAAGCTCATTCTCCCTTGAGCACAACCCACCCTTCAAACATGAAATCATGACAGTTTGAATCTGCAAAGGTAGCACAAACTTCAGACAAATTCTTGGCTGAAGTTTTCTGGCTCTAACTGGAATATTTTTGGGGAAACCAAGGGATTTAATCTCTATTCTTTAATGCTCAATAAGTGCCACGAGGGGGCAGCATCACAACATTTTTCAGAACACTAACAGCTAGGCTCATGATCATGGAAACAAAATTACTCTGCAGAAGTCAGTTTTCTCTTATAAATAATATTGATCAATTAAAACTTGAGCTTCCTTCAGGCCTGCTCTGTGTATCTCTATACGATACGTTGTTTAAAAGCTCAGTTGTTATTTGTCCAAAAATATATTTGAGCACCTATTCCGTCCTCTGATGTTGCTTATACACTTCATAGTATTTTTTTCTCCATGAATCCCCTTTCCAAGACTTTAGCTGTTACCACAATCCTGACTGCCATCTTCATGTTGTTGGCAATACTTTCTTAAAGTGATCATTCTCTTCAAATGATCCATGGAGCCATGAGATTAGAGCAACTCCAACACTCAATATTGTTCCTTCAGTTTCCAACAGCCAAAGAAGCGCTCCTCCCCGCATCACGCTCGAGGACCAGCAGCGTGGCATCGAGAGTCCTCCCAGGGGCATGTGCGATTTTTTGTTTGTTTGTGACCTATCCACCTGAGCTAGGTTCTTTTTTGACTGTGCCTCAGGCATCTCTCTCTCTCATTCCCACTTTCTGCTTGCTGCCCCCAGTGCATGTGCAAACACACACACACACACACACACATGCACACACGAGAACATGAGAAGCAGACATGACAAGGCAAAGGAGAAGGAAAATGAAAAGAAGCTAGCTTTCTGATTCCTCTGCACCGCTTACCAGCAGCCCAAACTTAACCACCAACCTCTGCTCCAGCCATCAAAAGAACTATCTAATAAAAATTTTTTTAATAATAATAATAGTCACTTATCGTAGAGATAAAAACAGTCAGGAAGTCACGCTACTCATTGATCAAACCTATATTTTAGTAAAGTCTTTTTTTTTTGGTTAAAAAAATACAAAATTCATACTTTTTTTTATCCGTCCTATGTGTCAAAGTAGTTGAACAGGTGTGTGTGTATGCTGTAATGTTGGCTTTGACAATAATAGAAAATTGTGTGAACTTTTTTACACATGAATTTCCCTGAGAGGGATCACAGTCATCCCAAGATGAGAAACATGGCACTTCCATAGTGACAGGACCATTTGACGTGTCCAGCGGTCAAAGAAACAAGCATTTAAAGATTCCAGAAACTGACCGCCAGCCCTATCAGCACATCGCTGCTTGTTTAATACCACAGAAGTTATTTGACTCATTACACCCTCCAAGGAATGTTCTTATCGCCAACGTCACCCTTTGTCCTCACCATGAGTGTTACCAGGTGGCCTTTGTGATCGCGGATGAGGAAACTGGCCAGCAGCGTAAGGATTTAAAGACAGATTTTGAAAACCCTGAGCTTGTCCTTCAGTTCCAGCCTTACCCAGGAAAGCATCAAATGGGGATATTGAATGCTGACTCTGCATCCTCAAGGAGCCCTCCTGTGTTTCTCCATTAGACCAGTGTTGATGCTCCTTGTCTGGGGGTCCTGGCCGCAGAGCTGTCTCTTCTGTGTTCCCACGCTGATCCTTCCATCACGCACCAAGCGTCCTTGGGATTGTACCACCTCCTCTGCATTGCCAAGTGTCAGAGCGGTAGGAACGGTTCCCTTCTTCCCTGAGGGTCACCAGGGTTCTGCTCTTAATGATTCTGTGTGGGAGTCCCGGGAGGACACTGTGTGTGAACAGCTTACTCCTTCCCCACGTCTGCAATATGGCTTTTAAAAACTGTTTTGAGCATTGCCAAAACTCTAGAAATGATATAGTTGATACTTCAGGATCTAGTATGCCCTGTGCTTACATTGCCATTGGGCGTGAATGGTGGGGAGGAGAAAGATGGAGACAGGGAGTTGAGAAGCAGGCTTTTGGCTGAGCGGCTAGGTTGCCTGGATTCAGTTCCAGGCTCCAGCTCTTGATTCCGGATGTTTGTTAATGTGGATGCTGGGAGGTGGTGATGCTGGATCGTGCCACCTGCGGGGACTCGGGTTTATTTCCACTCCTTGTTCTGGCCCCTGGAGCACGGTGGGCATTTGGGGAAGGTGCCAGTTAGACAGGAATGTCTGATGCTCACTTGTTCTCCGAATCTCTTTCTCTCCCTCCTTTTCCTTCTCAAACACATTTCGATTTTTTTTTTCTCCAGAAAGTAATACATTTTCCCCTCAACTGAGGCAATCCAGAAGCTTCTTGCTTCAATGATGAAGAAAAACCAGCTAAAATAAAATAAGACTAAAATCAATGTGCTATGAATTACACAACGAAACCTGAAAGGAAAACCCAAAGGTTGCAGATTATTTCCAAGCGACTGACTTGTTTGAGAACAAAACTTGAAGCTATTTGTGATCGCACTGTGCTTCTGTCCAGGATATAATATCTGAAGATAGATTTGCTTTCCTATAAAGAACAACTTTATAGCACACACACACACACACACACACTCTTAATTGCTGAAGCACAAAATCCATACTAAGTGTTTAGGCTCTAACACAGGCAGAGGTAACCCATGTTCAAGAGCCAGGGTCGGGAGCCTTGGGAGGTCATGATGGTTTGCTTTGGCAAGCAGAGCAACGGACAAATCCAGACTCAACAGAAGACCCATTGCACAGTCGTTTGGATACTGATGAGAACCAGTGTGGAGGGAACTGCCTGAGCAGGCAGTGGAGAGCAGCTCAATAGTTACTAGAGGAATCCAGCGAGTTCACGAATGTAGTAACAGTACTGTGCCCATAAGCCAAAATCTAAAACCTCAGGTCACAGGGTGGAGCACCGAGAACGAGTCTGATTGAGTAGGATAGGAGGATTATCTTTAGGGAAAAACTGTAGCGTCACTGAACGAGGTTTACAAACAGAATTTAAAATCACAAAGATACCACTACATGTTCTAATTGTTCAGCCCCCGATAACTTAAAATTAACACCAGCTGCCATCCAATGGAAAAGCCACCTGCCATGCAAATACACAAATAGATATATTTAATTATATATAATTCAGAATGAGAATAAAGATCAATCAAAACTAACTGAGAAACTCCACAGATGACATCATTAGCAGAAGGACAGTAACATAATGTTATTTCATTTACAGAGTGCGTAAATTCCTTTCCAGCTCTCAATGGCCTGGGATATCAGTAGAGGAAGGCCCAAAGCCTTGCAACCACGCACCCACATGGGAGAACCAGAGGAAGCTCCTGGCTCCTGGCTTTGGATCAGCTCATCACCAGCCATTGCAGCCATTTGGGGAGTGAAACCATGGGTGGAGGAGTTTTCTTTTGCTCCTCTCTGTCAAATCTGCCTTTCCAATTAAAAAAAAAAATTGTGGAAAATGGAATTAAAAGATATGTTTATTTTTGGTGCAAAAATTTTTGAAATGCAGCCTGTTAGCACCATACATTGTCAATTTACAATTTACATTTGTACATTTACAAAAAAATTATCAACAATGTATTTAAATATAGTATATGCCAATTATATCTACATAAAACTACTAAAATCAAATAAAGTCTTTTAAAATCTGCCTGGTGAGGGAAGGAGTGAGAAGGTATTTGGCCTGGAAGTTACCATGCCTGCATCCCAGGCTGGAGCACCTGAGCTTCAATCCCAGCTCCACCTGCTGATTTCAATTTCCCACTGGATCAGACCCTGGAGGGCAGCAGATGACAGCTCATTCACACAGCAGTCCTGGTTGCATCGTTTGTTCCCAGCTTTGACACCGCTCATCAGCTCTCACCACTGCAGGCATTTGAAGAACCAAATGATGGACTCCGTCAACCTCTGTCTTTCTCTACCTCTGTCTCCCTGCCACATATAAAATATTTTAAAAGCATATCCTACAAAATACACTTCCTCTGAAATGAAATAGTTCTGCAGCTGAAGTCTCGACTGAGAGTTTCTAGTTCTACTGTCATATTACTATTCACCTCTCTTCAAATATCTTTATCTGCTCTTCCACCAGTGGACCCATCAGCTAGCTTCACAATTGTTTTTCCAATGCCCCGGACACTGCATTTGATGGCCTGAATGAATTTGCTATCGTTAGTTAGTGCCCTTTATTCATTTGTCACAAAACTTTTCATCAAAGATGTATCAATTTGGGATCAACACTGGCAAAGTAATGTATATGACTAAATTATGGACAGACATGTTCAGAGATTAAAATTCAGACAATTTTAGGTCATCAGAATCAGATAAGAAAATACTGATGTCTTAACAAAAGTTATTGATCAAATAAAAACATTAAACTCTTTTCCTTACTGCAGTGGAAATAGAAAAAAACAAGACAGCCAAACTTGCTGACTGTGGAAGCTGTTGCCTCCTGTCCCCTTCATCAGAGGTGGATTTTCTACCCAAGAGCTTGCAACAAAACAAAAATAAAATTGCTCAGGTATCTTAGATCTTCCTTCACTATATATTCTGTTTTGTATTTGTTGTTACCCTTAGTGGCACCTTCTTTTTGCAAAGTTTATATTTTTAATAAATTTCCATTTTTGAAAATCCAGTCAAGGGTGAATTATATCTAGTGTAGCTAAATTTCATCTCTGTGAAAGAATCATCTCTAGTAGTCTGAGCAGCTTCATTTCACTCGTAAAATGCAACTGAGATGTTTGTTTCCTAGTTATGTTCCTTTTTTGTTTGGCTAAGAAATAGTTCATAAAATTGGGCAATTACTGATTAATTAGCAAAATAATCAGTTACCAATGAACACTTTTCAGTACTATCATAGTTTACTCCAGGAATGGGTTAACGACACTTTGTCTTAGACTTTGGTTAAAAGAATGATTGAAAAGAAATGTTTCCATGATAAATTCAATGCTAAGGAAACAGATTTCACCCTACCCAGCCCTTGGAAGAAACACGAGGCTCTGTATTCTCCACTGCGTTCTTCAAGGTAAGTAGGTTTATCCCCTGGCAGGAGAAACCACCTAGCAGCGGACCTGGTAGGGCAGCCCGGCAGGTGAAGCTCCAGGTACACGTGTTAAGCCAAGAGCTCATGGAAACTTCTTGAAAGCACTTCAAGGCAGCTCACTTATTTTTTTTTAATTAATTCAATTGCATTATGTGACACAGTGTTATGGGCACTGGGATTCCCCCCACCCCTCCCCGAACCCTCTCCCCATGGGGATTTCTCCACCTTGCGGCATTACCACAGTTCAAATTCAGTTGAGGTTCTTTCATTGGAAGTATTTACCAAGCATAAAGTCCAGCGTCTTATTGTCCTAGTGGGTTTAACAATTTCTTGGTGACACCATCTCTGGTCTGAAGGTAAAGCCAGCAAAGTATCATCTCAATCAATTAAAGGCCCCAACATAACATCAACAACCATTTACAACCTTATGGCATTAATTGACATGGTATTGGTTAACAATATGTTAATAGGAAAATGCAGGTTCTTAACTACATCCTGTGACTTCTTCATAGACATTTCAATTTTTGGTTTATATTCAACCAGATTCCATACACCTCAAAATGGCTATAGATTACTATTCAGCTGTCTCGTCTATTTTTATTTTAGTATTTAGCTGTTTATTTTGACTGGGAAAGCTGAGGTTCCCCTTGAAGGAACATGCCAAAGACAGTGCCCTCGCATCCTAAGACCTAAGCCATCCAAATTGTGTGATGTTGAGGAGATATCAGAGCAATGCATTATATATTATATGGTAAGACATGGTGAGAGAGGGAGGGAAGGAGGAAGGGGGAGAGAGAGAGAGAGAGAGGACTGCATGGAGGCATACTTTTCCAAAGGCAAGAGAGATTTTGCCCTACTGTTCTAAAATGACATCCCTGATTGACTATGTAGTTGCCCATTGACAGAAATAAATACATCACTGTAGGTTGACTAAAACACCCTTCCACTCCTCCACTCTAGTGGAGAAGAGTGTAAAAGACCCAATGAACTAGTCATTTCAACCCTGGGAATTTATATTAATGAAATAAATCAAAATAGTATATCTATTTGTTAATAGAGGTTCTTCAAGTTAACCCTGGAGTAGCACTGAGTCATTACAATGAGCAGTATCAAGAACATGTAAAAATGTGGTGTGAAAGAAACGGGGCAAAAGTGACCTTTAGAGAGTCCCTAATATTCTAGAAAATGAACAACTACGTTTGATAAAATCTACTGTGTTATCCATATACCTTTACACAAGAGGAAACCTCTAAGCCTCGGTTTCATTGGGAACTACGACTTCTGCGACTACTAGATAAATATTAAAGAAGTCATGTTGAGTATACAATTATTGAAAAGAGGGCTTTCCACCTTTCAATGACTCGCTGCACGTTCAGCAGCATCTGCAGCGAAGCCTAGCCTTCTTACAGTAGGGAAAGCTGTGTACCACCGCCAGGCCTCCTCGTTATGACTCGGTCCACCCTTTTAGTTTTCTTTCATAGCTTTCCAAGACCACCAGCCCTCACATTTGTCACCCCCATTGGGAGGGGAACTGGTAGCCATCTGTTCCCCCTCAAACCTCAGTCCTATCCTATTTTACCAAAAAAAAAAAAAAAAAGAAAAAGGAAAAAAAAAAAGAACAATATGCCATTCCTTAAAGTATATACGTGTGTGTGTGTATATATATATATATATATATATATATATATATATATATACTTGATAAGATTGGGTATTATCTATATAAACAAGAATAACTTTTCCCTACATAAAGGCAAAGGGGAAAATGTGATTTATTCATCTTTTTTCAACTGAGAGATAAATACTGTTAGGGTCCGGGTTTGAGCCCTCCAGAAGCAACAATGAGTCTCGTTGGTAATGCAAAAAGCAAACAGAGTTTATTGTGCCAGCATGTTGGGGTGAGACCATTCTTGGAGCACGCACGCCAGCCAAGCAGGGGTCGGACCCCGAACTAGCAAAAGGCTAGAGATTATATAGGCCCCTTTTGGCTGTAACATACATCAAAGTCAACTTAAAAGTCACAACTTCAGATTTTTTATGGCTCCCAGGTGCAAGCAGTATACTCCGTTCCATTCTGGCTCATCCCATTCTCACACCCTTATCTTTCTGGCTCCTCCAGTTCCTGGGACCAGAGAATTGCTCCCCTGCCCTCCTGCACCTGGGTTTATTCTATAGTTTGCGACCCTGACTCATCCTGACTTAGGAGGAGTTTCCTAACGGCCTTGACTCAGCAAAGCAGCAGCTTTTTAACACTAAGAGGCATTACACTGCCTAACAATACTTTCGTGACTCGGCCCAACCACAGTCCAGATAGTCCTCTGATGGTAAAACGCGGCTGTTCATTTGGAGAACCTTATTTGTAAGCTCACGGGTCCTGAGTTCAGCAGTCCTTCTAACACTGGGAGGGGAGGCCTGCGGTCACCTCTTTTCTTGCGGTTTCAGAGTGTAGGACGAACCTTGCTGCCCTCCCTGCTGACTGACTTTGTGTGGAGTCTCCTGCGGAAGATGTCTTCATCTGACTACAAAACTGCGTCCGAGGCTTCATCCATCTTGAACTTGACTCTGGAAAAGTATGCGCTGAAAGTCACGAGGGTAAGATCATGATGAACAAGTTTAGAGAGCAAGCGAGGCGAAGCAGTGCTTCCTTTAGACCTTGGGATATTAACAAGAGATGGGAACATTCTTCAGGAAAAACAGTAATCAAAGTGAAAATTACAGAGCGATGAACATCTCCTAAACAAAGTAGTCTTCCTACCATGAAGAACAAAACCGCTCCAGCGGAAGTTAGACCAAGTCAACCAAGTCCCTGGAGGCAGAAAAGAAACCAAACAAAGCCCAATGAATAGACTCATTCAGGTAAAACCACTAGCTCTTGAAAACAGAACCAAATGAGGATCAGCAACGTAGGTTACCGCTACAAGCATCCCAAAACAAATGAAACACTGCATCAAACAATCCTTGTATTAAACAATGTTAGGTTCTAATGTCCCTTAAGAGGAAAAATTGAGTGGAGTTGAAAATATCCCTAAACAGCAATATCGCACTCTGGTCTTGCAATCTAGATAAATCTACCAGCAAGTGTTTCCTTGGGGATCAAAGCAGATTGCCCTTTAACAGAGCAGCCAAAGACGTGGTTAGTTCATTTGCGAGATTGGCAGTATTTACGACAGGGAGGGGTATGAGAAGCAGCTCTAAATCCTATAGCCAAGGAGAATAAGACTTCATGTTTCATTTCAAACCTGCCTTGTAGTGTGTGTAGTGGGGTAAATACCCAAAGGGATTCATTCTTTCATTCACTGTATTTCTTTCGTATGGAGTGGAACGTTGTACATGCAGAACCAAATTACATTTGATGCCTGCTAGTCTACTGTAAATTTACATCAATCAACTTCTAAACAAGAATATCTACGATCACAGTGACTAAACTTAATGGCGATGACAAATTACATGTCTAGCAGGAGCTCTCCATACAAAAGGACGAATGACAAAAGGTGGGGGTGGCGAGCAAAAATGAAGTGCGGCCTTTGAGAAGCGTGTGCAAGATGATAGCTCAGCATTTTCCATTCAGAAGTCAACCCTCGCAAAATAATTTGCTTTAAAATTTGTGTTTTCCCAATGTCCCTAAAGGTAGAGGTTTGTTTTGCATCTCTACAGATACTCCATGGTCTCCCATCATTATGTTTTATGGTATTATTTATTTGTGTGTTGCTGTCTTGTTTATTCTAATCATGATCAGATACCTTAGAGGTGATCTTGAAAGAAGCTTCCTGTTAACTTGTGGAATTTCTCTTTCAGGTGTGTAAGATTGTAGATGCAATTTATAAGCAATTGTATGAGAATTGTTATCACAGCATGAAGCAAGCTTTGCTGCGGGTCATTGCCTTGCTGGCCTGCACTTCACCCAAGAAGGTCATCTTTCAACTCATGGACTACCCAGTCCCAGCAGACAAGTAAGGTCTCCCTTTCCCTTGCCCCTCTCACAGGGTTTGCTCATAGGCTCCACAGTCAGAAGGATGTGTTTTCAAATCCTCATCCCTCATAATCAAGCCTGGTTCATTATTATTATTTTTTTCTGAAAGACAAAATTGTATAGGATGAATGTGATATTTAGATAAGACCATTTGTTAGAAATTTTTGCCACAAACCCAAAACTGAAGACACAGCAAGTCACACGGGAAGTTTCTATTCCAGGGAGAAAGGTGGCCTTGGGGAAGAGAGGAAAGGAGAGAGAGAGAGAGAGAGAGAGAGAGAGAGAGAGAGAACAAATAAAGGGAGCACGCTTTTCATGTCAGTGGGGTGGGTAGTGGGAGTAAGGCGCCATTAGGGATTGGTGGATTGTCTGGCAGGGCCCTGGGGTGAGAGCGGATTGATGTAGAAGTGAGCATTTTCTTCTTTGGAAGACTTTGTTAGGGATCAGGAACTGACTTAAAATTTCTGAAAGATGCAGAACTTTCAGAAGTGAAACCGAAGGAGGGGTAGGTGTCTGAAATGTTGCCAAGTCTGAGATGGCGTCCATCTTTGCAATATGGGGGGCTGAAGTTCGAGTCGCTCCTCACACCATTGCTATCATGCCATGTATATCCCTGTATAATTCCCAGCACACAGTACACCTGAAGGAACTCATCAACATCTCTTTACATATCCAAGGCTTTAAATCGTACTTATATCCCATAGGAAAGTGTAAGCTAAAGGAGAGAGTCATACGGACAATTTGACCATTTAGGAGGTATGAACAAGAAGAGGATGAGACAGGACATCTGAGGTCTGATGTGGTTCTAAACATGTACCTGCTGTTGGAGCAGCTAGGGAATGAGGTTCTGCAGAACTGGAGGGTCCACGTTCCAGAGGGATAAACTCTCTATTAGGAACTTAAAAGCAATAACTTTCAGAACCCAGCAGCAATTGGTAAGGTATCAAAACCATAGGAGTGTAGAAAGGTTCAGCAATTTTTAAAACAAACCATACTAAGACTAATCTTTTTTTTTTTAAAAAAAAAAACTTTTTCTTTATTGGAAAGTCAGATGTACAGATAGGAGGAGAGACAGAGAAGAAGATCTTCCCTCCCCTGACTCACTCCCCAAGTGGCCACAATGACCGGAGCTGAGCCAATCTGAAGCCAGGTGCCTCTTCCTAGTCTCCCAAGCAGGTGCAGGGTCCCAGGGTTTGGGGCCGCCCATGATTGCTTTCCTAGGCTACAAGCAGGGAGCTAGATGGGAAGCAGGGATGCCAGGATTAGAACTGGTGCCCATATGGGACCCTGGGCCCATGCAAGTCTAGGATTTTAGCTGCTAGGCCACCACACTGGGCCCAACAAGACTAATCTTGAAGAGTAATTGAATCTGTGGGGGGCTAGTGAGTGGTCATCAAGTAGCCTGGGTTCCAGTTATATTTGAATTATTAAATCAACTGATTATTCCTCTGAATCCAGTTTTCTTCTTTTAATATTAGTTTAGTAAGTTTGTTTTGTTTTTATCTATTTGGGTTATAAACTATTTTGTATATATGAATTTATATTTGCTTGTCTGTTTTTAAATATTCTACTATTCTTTTGCAAACAAGGTCATGGAGTAGGAAGAGCATAGAAATTTTGGGGATGCAAACAGCTGGTTAGTGCTGGCCAATGAGCTAGGAATAAACTTGCAGACCTATCCATTGAGCTGTCCTTGAAATTTTATTTAAATGTTTCAGATTTTGAGGGTAGGACTTACAGGATCGATTGGAAATGGGAACCTCATGGTGTTTTAGATTTGCCTTCGGTGTCCTTGCTATTCAGACATAAAACCAAAACCCTGTCCCTGATTCATGTCACTCTTCCGAGTGGAAAAAAGCAAAAATAGAAAGTAGAAGGGCTATCGTTTGCAGCACCTTGATACTGATGTGGCAAGCGGCAGGCTCGGAGTCAAGCGTCGCCCCGCAGGTGCTGAAGACAATCTTGCTGATATTGAAAGGAAAACCTGGCGAGATGGAGGAAAACCAACTGGACCGAAGACGTTGCTCTCTCGATGCTACCAGCATGATGCCCGTGGTGGTAAGTAATATGATGAATGTTTGTCTCATCGATGGTTTCCTGGTCATAGAAACCCTGCCTACATTTAGCGTGCATCACGTGTCCACTCACCCCACACGTATTTTTGAACATTCATTTATTTTTAATTTTAAAGACAGATTTACAGAGAGAGGGAGGGACAGATTTTCCCTGAGCTGGTTCATTCCTCATATGGTCACAAAAGCCGGAGCTGAGACAAGCCGAAGCTAGGAGTCAGAAGCTTCTTCTGGGTCTCCCACATGGATGCAGGGGCCCAAAGACTTAACCATCCTCCACTGATTTCCCAGGCCACAAGCAGAGAGTTAGATGAGAAGACGAGCAGCTGGGACACAAACTAGTACCCGTGTGGGATGCCAGGACGGCATGCTCAGCCTACTGTGCCACAGCACTGGCCCACACCTAGTACATATTTATGAGGGCCTGTTATGTGCCATGCCCTGGTGATGGTGCCTGCATTCTTGTAGCAGATACGATGAGCAAATAATGATGTTACAAGTTAAGTGATAAATACTAAAACGATTATAAAGTTGGGGTGAGAGGTGCAATGGTTAACTTGCTGCTTGGGATGCCCATATTCCTTATCAGAGTTTTAGCTTTGTATTCCATCTCTGCCTCCAGTCAAGCTTTCTGCTAGTTTACATCCTAGGAGGCAGCCAAGGATGGCTCAAGTACTCGGATCCCTGTCACCCATATGGGAAATCCAGGCTGAGTTTGGGGCTCTTAATTTTAGCCTGACCTAGTCCTGATATTATGGATATTTGGAGAATGAACCAGAGAATAGACTATCTCTCTCCAGTTTTCCTCTCTGACTTTCAAAGAAAATAAAACTAAAAATACATAAGGAATTATAAAGATGTGTGGGGTTAAGAAAAAGACAGATGATATTTAAACAGATTGGTTAGTGCATACTTCCCAACTAAGGAGACACCTGATTAGAAATTTGAGTATCATGGAAAATAAAAATTTTAAAAAACTGGAGTCAGGTGAGGTTCTGATCCTTGCATCATGTGTGGGAAAGCAAGTTCTGAGCAGAGAGAAAAAACTGGAGCCCTGGCAGTGAAAGCATATCCGATATGCCAGGGGATGCAGAGCAAGGGCCCAGTGTGGACGTTGATGTCACCATGGAAACCCCAGACTAGACCTTGCTGAATTCTACAGGCAGCTGCAAGCCTAATCGTCTTGGTGACTCCCATTGTGTATGAGCCAACGATCAGCATTAGCGCACCTGGGAGTAAACACAGACACATAGGCTGGCATTGCTTCACAAGTGTGAGGCGTGGGAATGTGTGTTTCTGATGTGGTGAGTGCTGTAGGGGTCAGCATTTGAAACATCTGCACTTGGGTCAGCAACCTCTTCAGCATCTCATTCCCCTGCATTGCTTAAGGAATGGAAGGGTCTAGACTCAGAGGAGGCTCACTGTTCATGTCCATGTATGAAGGAGACCTAGTGATACATGTTTTCTTTGGGGCCTGGTTTGTTTCCTGTTGGTTTGGCAGCCAAGGGTTTTGCTATGTTTTGTTTTGTTTTTGATAGTAGTGGGCAGCCGCTTGCCAAAGAATGCTTGGCAAAGCGCCTGGTTTGTAATGAACTTCCAGGCTGCTGAGTGAGTGAACACGCAGGCATGCTTCAGGGGGAGGGGCTGATGAGTTCCTTTCTTTGCTCCATAGGAGCAGGCTTTGAAGGAGTAGTTTCCTTTATAACTCCATTTTTCGTTCCCTTACAGGCATCCCAGGCCCTGTGCATTTTGCTTCCTGTTGACGCTTACAAAAAAGCAGTGACCCAGCTTTTCCCAGAGCTCCTGGTGTCCCTCATGCTTCAACTCTTCTACAGCACTCAACTGAAACTGGAGCCAGAGGCCAGGCCCCTGTGAGATGCGCTGATTGTTTCCGATGGAATGAGGGTAGCACTCACCTGTACACTGTCTACTCCCTCGTGTTCCTGTAGGATCCTTTATAATCCTGTGCTTCGAGCACAGGTTATAGGACTTTATTTCATTTCTCTCTCATGAAGGTTAAAATGCCTTTGGAAAAGTGCCTCTGTTGAGTATGCAGGAATTAGCTAGCCTTTCCTGGAACACCCATAAGTAGCCCTGAAGAGCCAGTACCGCACAGAGGTGATGCCTGCTACTCACTCCCACCTTACAATAGGTCTCTAGGTGGGTAGAGGGTGGAAGGGTCATTTGATTGAAAGCAAGACACATCCAAGCTCTGCCATGGACTTGCTGTGCGAGACCCATTTCTCAGGGTTCTCGTCCGTGTAAGATCGATACTGTACACAAGCCTAGGTTGCGAGCAGTGAAATGGTTTTGTTTTGGGGATGTTTTGTGTGGCCTCGATGACAGCATGCCCACTGTCATCCAGCCATGTATGGAAGGGCTCAATATTTCATGTTTGCTCAAAAGGATGCAATCCAGTTTTGTTCAGTGCCCTGCAAGGAAAACTCCACCCAACTGTCAGTTGTTTCCCTTATTTGTTGTAGATATCTAAGCCAGACAGAGCTTTAGAATGCAATCAGTCCCTTTAAGATATGTGATCCTGTCCGCTAAGCAGGGGTTACCAGATAAGACCAATACGTGATCTCTTATTAAGTCATACACAAAAGAAAATCAACACCTTTACCGGTGATGGTAGCATTCAATGTTTCTTACAAATAAGCTAACACATTCATAGAACTACAGTGTGATTCATCCTAGATCCAGTTTAACCTCTTCCACTGCGTAGTGCTAATCAGGGAAACAGAGTTCTTAGCAGCTCCCTTCCTGGGGGTCGTGGGGTGGGGCTTTTCTCTAAATCTATGTCCTGGCTGAGATGGGGCAAAAGGGAGACAGTGTGTAGTTACGTGACCGTCACCTGCAGGTAGTGACTCTGCTCATCTTACTGTAGTAGCTATGCGCTGGATGCCCTGAGAGTTCTGCTGACCTGCTCTGGACTACAACATGTGGACACGGCTCTAAAGAAAAGGAACTGTTGGAACCAGTTTTCCCAACCTCTCTATCACCATCATTGGGTCTACCTTATTGCCAAGTAAGAACAGGGGCTTCTGCATAGGATTCGTGATCCGTAACCCACCTCTCTCATCTTTCAATTATGCCCTAGGAAACACAATCCGCTTCTGGTAAACATTCCAAGTGCCTATTAACAAATCTGAATTTCCAAGTCATTCCGACCTCTTCAATTATTTTGAGGAATTCTTGTTTAGTTCTATTTTTCCCTTTTCTCCCCTCTGCCTTCTTCAAACAGATTGGTCTTTAATATATTTGTGTAGGTAGGTATGGAGGTGAGTACATTTTGTCTTCTCTGATGTTAGCTGATTTCTGCTTTAAGACATCATAGTTTGACATGTGCGCCCATAAAAAAATATTGATTTTTATTGAAAAGGCAGATCTACAGAGACAAAGAGAGACAGAGATAAAGATCTTCCATCTTCTGGTTCATTCTCCTGTGGTCACAAAGGCTGGAATTGAGTTCTGCTGAGTGAGCCAAATTATAGTTCTGCTGTAATATAGTTTTCATAAAATAACAGAAGAATATTTTAAGTTTTCTCATACCAGTCAGGGTTCTCAAAAGGATGCAATCCCTGACCCCAGTTAGCTTTTCTGTGTACTGCAAGCTTCTGATTCTGGAGATCAGATTTTGTAATCAAGAACCAGGATTCAAAAAGCCTTGACAACATGACAGGCCATATGAAATTGTGACTGATTTGGAAAGTGCAACGTGTTTCATGAAACTCTGAGTACTTTTTAAGCACCGGCTAACAAGCACATCCTGCTTTGTAGCGGGTTAGTACAAGTACACTACTTAAAATGGTCACTCATTTAACGTTGTCCTTGCTATCTTTGAATCTTACTCAAAATGTGGTCTACAGCCCAGCAGCCACAGCAATACCCGTGGGTTAAGAAACAAACAAACAAAGAGACAAACAACAACAACACGAACAAACAAACAAAGACACCACAGAATCTCACGCTCAATCCATAACCTGTTAAATAGCATCACATTTTAGCATTATTATCTTCTAGTAATTGGCATGCACATTAAACTTTAGGGATCACTGATATAAAAAGACCAAACTGGAGTTTTGTAATGGAAACGTTCTCACAGTTCTATTTCTGGCAACCTCGTCAGGGCAAGTGTAAATGTGTTATGGAGAATGCCTTAGCTCTGCAGAGTTCACCATTTGTCAGAAGGCCCAGGGTGGTGCCAAACGCTCCTCTCCATTCCGCCACCCAAAGAAAGGTCTAAAATCTTAAAGATGGCCTGCACTACCAACCCTTTGGTCAAGAATTGGAGAGGCCGGAAAGAGAAATTACATTAAGGAAAGCGATTGTGATAAGAATCCACATGCTATAATTCCCTGTGGTCTGTGGAGTATCAAACGGTGGGGCTGCAATTTGCCACCGTAAGGGACTACTGCAGTATGTGTTTTAATCTGAATGCTACAAAACGTGAGAATTCTGATTCTCTCTTGGTCACTGTTAGCGATTACTGATGCAGTGTCTGTTCTTCCTCCTTGTAATCCGGCACTTTATTCTTTTTTACAGAGCTCTCAGTGAGTTTAACTTTCCACAGTTTCCAGAGACTTTATATTACCTTTACAAACTTTCAGTGGGTGGTCCTAGAAGATCAGAGGACAGTATCATCACAACAATATTCCTCACTGAAGTGAGTTTTATTGGGAGACTCTAAGTATGACGTCACAACAAAACTGAATTTTCAAATTCTTTATCTGAATCAATCACCACCCCTGCCTCTTCTCTCTCTCTCCCTCTCTCTCTCTCTCTCTCCATATAGATTCTTATGATGATTTAAGACCATGAAAAATATCTTAAATTGGTGTTGAGTTTGAAGATAGATATGACTATAGAAGGTTGATCCTTTGGCCACCCTTGGAGATAGCTTTTATCTTCCACAAGGTGCGGCTCAGTACAAACGCTGACAATTTTTGTAGTTCGTATATTCCTGCATGTCTGTTAGAATATTTAGAGGATTCACTCTGGATATATTAAAAACAGAGGGAAAATGGTGATAGTTTACACTGTTGTGCAAGGGGGAGAAAAGAAGGAATCAGATAAAATGGAGGTGGGAAAATATTTTAATAAGTGCACAAATATGATGATTCATACCCTAATGCAGATTGAGGTGATTATTTTGTTTATAAAAGTAACGTTGTAACTATAACCTAATTTCTCCATGAAAGCGATATTTCAATAGGCAAGTGTAACCTCAAGTGTGATGTCCAATATTTTTAAAAAATTAATATAATTTGGAACATCCTAAAAAATCTTTCAATGAACTATAAAAGATCACAAAATCTGGGGGAGCTCACATCTTTCTCTTGGTTCCCTGGCTGATGTGTCTGCTTCTGGGTTGTGGATGAGTGAAGTTTGAGCATCTCGCCTGGCTGATGCAACCTGTAGTTGATGGACTTGTTAGTTGGGGTTCAACAGGTGTGGTTCCTGTCTGGTTCCCAGCAAGCTACAGTATCTCCACGCTCAGTTGTGCAGGCTTTGGGATGAGGCCTGGTTCAGAGTTCACAGATGGAAGACTTGACACCAAGGATACAGAAGTTTCCTCTGGTTTGCAGGGTGTTCCCTCTGTGCCAATAGATGAGTCCCTGAACAGAACTGGACCCAGACCACGAAAACGAGGGTAGGACTGAACCACAGGGATGCTTCAGTGCTCACAGGCAGTCACAGATTCTAAGCACATAGATAGGTATGTCTCCCTACAGGTTTTGAGGCAGACTAAACTGCTACTAATTCAGGCAGAAAGGGACTGGAGCTGAGCTACAGGACTGTTCATGAAAATCTGTTTGGGAAACCAAGTTAGCAGGCTCTCACAAGGTTAGAGATAGGCTTATTATCCAGCAGGATAGCAGGCAATGGGGCTACATTCAGAGTGCCACTGAGAGGAACTGGCCAGAGCTAGAGGGCAACTTCAGAAGTCTACAGTCAGGAGCAGTGCCAGCATGCCCGTCACCCTTGCACCCACTGGGAATGACTCTTCCTAGCTTGACTGGAGGATAGTTGTGGTGGTAGGACTGAAGCCAAACAGGTCTACATTCAGTTCTCCAGTCGGTTATAACCACTTCAAAGCTTGATGCTGTGACCACAGAAGACACGCCTGCCACCTGTGATGTAGTGTTACATAACTTGATATAAACTGCTCACAGATGGCCTAATATTAAAACTATCATTGCAGTATTTTACAGGTTAGCTATAAGTAAAAATTAATCTGCTATCATTTCATTAAAAATATTTACATAGATATTCAGTTGTAACTTTGTTCTATAGTTATCTTATAGTTATCTATTATGTTTGGCTCCTCTCTTTTTTTTTCAGTGTTTCTGATAGATTTAAAAATCAAATGCATAACAACAAATGAATTACTGGGTAATTTATGAACATTGTAACTAACATATCTCTAAAATGTTAGAAGAATTTTTTAGTTAAAATTTAAGAGGGTTGAGCCAGAAGTGATTTCCTAGTAGCTAAATCCTTGCCTTGTATTTTTTGGGATCCCATACGGGTGCCATTTCATGTCCAGCCACCCTGCTTCCCATCCAGCTCCCTGCTTGAGGTCTGGGAAAGCAGTAGAGGACAATCCAAAGCCTCGGGACCCTCATGGGAGACCCAGAAGAAACTCCAGGCTCCTGGCTTTGGATTGGCTCAGCAACGGCCACTGGGGAGTGAACTAGCAGATGGAACATCTTTCTTCTCTTTCTCTTCCTGTATAAATCTGACTTTCCAAGAAAAAGAAATAAATCTTCAAAAGCATTTAAGAGGGTTGCATAATTTGAATACTGTGTCACCATCTTGTTTCTCTTGATTTCAGGAAATAATTTTTTTTTTTCATTTTAGCATTTATTTCTTAGTGAATTGTTATGGCCAAGTGATCCATTTGCTTCCAACTAAATATAAATATTTATTTTTTAGAAAATTCTAGTTTAATTTTTGTGATAATTCTTATTCTGTTTTTCTTTTTAAAAATATGTGTTTATTTGAAAGGCACACTTTCAGAGAGAGAGAGAGGAAGAGCTCTTCCATCTTCTGGTTCACTCCCTAAACAGCCAGGATTGTGGTTGCAGCCAGGAGCCAGGAGCCCAACGCTGCTTCTGCATCTTCTCCCATGGGTACGGGCTCACAATCACTTGGCGTATCTTCTGCTGCTTTCCCAGGCACATCAACAGGGAGCTGAATTGGAAGTGGAGCTGTTGGAACTCGAGCCAATGCCCATGTAGTATACCCACACAGAAGACAGTGGTTTAGCATACTACACAACGGTGCCAGCCCATGTGCTTAAATGTTTTGCTCCACAAATTGGAGAATTCTTAAATTCCCATGAGTTTTCAGGCTTTTTTATTTGAATTTCTTTTATTGCACCCAGTTTTTAAATTTAATTTTAAAGATTTTAAATGTTTGTGCTTTTTAAATTGTCATGTTATTCCTTATTCAATATGTTAAATACTAAAATAATGTTTATTATGATTTTTAAGCATTTTATTTTAAGGCAATTATTGGCGTTTGTTCGATTTGGTATGTAATTTTTATAAAAATTACTTGGAAGTTTTTTTTTTTTTAAATAAAGGAATATTCTCTTCTCACCACCTCCTTCACCCTCTATCTTTTCGCATTAGGAAATTTTTTCACCTTCTTCCTGTACACTTCTGTTTTTGTGATAAGTGAAATTCCTTCATAGAATTTATGTTTCTATGAAACTGTCAATTTAAAAAATCTGTCTATTTGCCAGTAACCAGGTAGGTGACAGGTAGTTGGCAGCTCATGTCATCATTTTGAGCCGCAGCTCTTTTACTTCTTCCAGCCCAGTTCCAAGTCGCCGCCCCTCCCTAGCAGCTCTGTGCCCTCACTACCCTGCTGTCTTCTCTTCAGTCTTTACTCTCCTGGCCTCTGGCTCCTGGCTCCTGGTTCAGATGTTCAAACACACCCAGATCCACTTACATTGGGACCTTGTATCTGACTTACTCTCCTTGCACATGTTTTCTCCGTTTATCTAGCCAATGCCCCTACACGGTCAAGATCAGACCTAAATTTCACTCTTCACTATGAAATAAATTTACTTGTGTATCTATCAAAACTCAGTACTTCCATAAAGGTTGTGGCATCTTGTAACTTTCCAACCTAGTACTATTCACAGAAACTCCATTTTCATCTGAATGGCCTGACAACATACTATCCGAGTCTCAAGTTAGCCCACACGTCCCACAGGTTACAGGTTGAGACTCTCACTCTTCATTATATGCTCACACATTAGCACAGGGCCTGGCCTAAGCAAGCAGCTCTTCTAGCTTATAAAAAACATACACAGGGTAAGGATTTGGCCTACTGATGGAATTAAGTCCTTAGTTAAGACACTCACATCCCACTCGGAGTGCCGGAGTGTGACACCTGACTCTGGTGTATGATTCCTGCTTTGTGCTTGCATGGACTCCAAGAAATGCAGGAAGGCCTGAGTAATCAAATCCCTGCCACTCAACATCAGAATCCTGGATTATGTTCCCTGCCAGTAATTAAAGGCATCTAGGGAGTGAAAAAGTGGATGGGAACTTCGTGTGCCTATGTATCTTTTTTGCTGTCTTGCTCTCTTAATAAATAAAAATTATAAATGATAAAATAACCTACTTTCCTTTCTCCCTTACTATGAGCACAGGAATACTAGTTTACTTCAAAAAGTTTATGGAAAATGGGATTGGAAGTTAACTTCACTTGGGTGCCAAAAAATATGTTGAAATGCATATAGAAGTCTTCAAAAATACTTGCAATCAGGGAAAACTGCAAGTTTTTTTTTTTTAATTGGACTCAATACATTGACCTTCTTTGAGATATGGATAGGGAGAAAGAGTTCTTACATTAAAACCCACTGCCCAAATGCACACAGTCTCCAGGGGCTACAAGCTGGGATCCACGGACAAATCAATGTCTTCCATGTGGATGACAAAAACAAAATCACTTGAGCGATATATCACTGCTGACATCTAAGGCCCATGGCAACAGGTGCTGGAATCAGGAGCTGGACCATGATGTTCAGTTTAGGCACTGCCATGTGGAATGAAGATATCCCAATGAACAGCAAAACTCTGAGGCCGAATGCACATACCTTCCCTTTCGCTCCATTTGCCATCAGCTTTTGTCAGTAACCATGTATTTATGAGAACACAGGCATATATGTGGAGTTCTAGTGGGATGCACATTGTAGTTTGTCTGAAAACATCTGGAGTTTTTATGACAGGTGGAAGTCATGCCATGGGCTTCCGTTTTTGCTTATGAACTTCACTTGTTTCTTTCAGCTTCTGAATAACTTCTTCAAAGACCCATTCCCAGAGGAATTTCTGGTCCTCTACAAAAACTGGATCAATGATTCAAATCCTGCTGTTTGCAAACTGAGCCTTCAGAAAATTGCCAGCATGGCCCCAGTTATCAATGAGGTACAAGAATAAGAATTTTGTCTTCCAACGAGATCAGAGTCATACTGTTAAAACACTGATACTTTTCAGTGTCAATACATCTGAAACACTATCAAAGCTTGGTGTTTAGCCAATCAGGAACTGAGTTGAACAGAGTGGTTGTATTATCAGTTTAGTGGCTTCATCTATTTTTTTTTATAGAAAATTATTCAGTGCATTCCAAGTATATTTACCTTGACTGACCTATGTGAGCACTTTTCTCACTCCCTACGCACACAGGTTAATTTCCTTACAGCATACACATATACGTATCCACTCAATACTATCTCAGAGTACCCACCCCCTCATGCTTTTTCTTCTATTTATAACTTTTTTCCCTTCAATCATGCATAATCAAGTATTTATTACTTTCTGAACAACCATTCTGATCAAGATTCACGCAATAATGTGATTTATAGCAATTTCATGTTCAGAAGCATACCTGTATAGAATAAAGCATACCTGTGTAGAATAAAGCATACCTTTATAGAATAAAGCATACCTGTATAGAATAGGAGCACCTCACTTTTATAGAATTTCTTAGCAGTGGACCTAGAAGTCTGCTTCTTCATTCATTATTCATACCATCATCAACATTACCTGCAGACTTGCTAGGAAGTAGACATTCTGGGGTTGGAGTACACCAGTCTGTTTCCAACAACCCTTCAGGTCATTGCGATACAGATTAATGTTAAGAGCCAGTCTTCATACTGTTTCCTGCTGACTGATACGATGATTTGCTGCCTTGCAGGTGAATGGATTTTATTTTAGTATATATGCTGCTGAAGCGAGCACAGGTGCATGGATTCTAAATGACAAACACTCTCGTCCCGATACTGAGAGTGTAGATGGTCCATATTTGTCATCAGCTTAACAATGAATCCCTATTTATTTTTTGAGACTATTTTTTGAAAGTGTAAATCCTATGGTGAGCACGTATTTGGAATGACCTAAGCTGTGGTCTGTTTGCTGTAAATAATAATCAGAACAGTCAGTGGTTTTATTAATGATCTATATTTACTCAGGATAGATTTTTAAAACATTCTTTCTTACTTGAGTGAGAAGCTAGTTACTTATTCCTTTATCTGGTGCTGTCCCCAATGTTGCTAACAAGTCAAAGAGAGCCTGTGTCATAGAGAACTAGGAGAATTAAAGAATATACCAGTGGCTTCCTGGTACTAATATTATCATTATCTCCTTTTTCTCTTTGTAAAGCTATCATTTTGTAAATACTTAGTAGCTTCCTTCACTTGTTTTCTTCCTCTCCCTTTGAAAAAAAAAATCTGTTTTGTTCAGTGCCTTTTACATGCTTCTCTCCTGTTTCCATTCTGTCTGACTCTCTTCAGTAGCTGGGTCCCATAATTTCCCCTCAGCAGCCACACTCAGCTATACACACACACACGCCCACGCAGATCAACGTCAAACAGTAAGGAGATCGCATTGTCAGGAAGGAGTGTGCTGATCAAGTTTAGCAGCCCGCTCTCTGGAGACAAACGTGTTCTCTCTGTTGTATTTATAAGCATGCCTTGTTTTGAGATATCACAGGGATCTGTCAAACACAGAGGAAATGCCAGTGACACAATGTTATGCCGTATTCCCACCACTCAGATACATTACATGTAAGTAACTTCAATGGCAAATGTAGACAGAGAATTAGGAAGTAATTATGTAGAAGATTTTTAAACATGGATTTTATTTCATTGTCAATGTTATAATTCAATAATGACTTTTTTTTAAAAAAAGAAATAAGCCTACACAATTTTTGAGAGTTGGCTCTTGTATGTCTTCTAGCAACCATGGTGCACTGAATATTTAGGTGCTTGCATATCGATGCCTGATCAAGTCTTCTGGTTGCTGAATCCCATCATTTCCTCTTTTTCTATGTAGATAGAAAATGTCTCCAGCATATTAGTAGCTATCCTGGGAGCCTTCCATTCCAAAGACAAGACTGTTGTAGCTCGGGCCTTGTTCACCCTCCGGAAACTTTTGGGCAAATTGGATAAGATGACCTACTCCACGTTATGCACCCAGATTGCTTCCAGCTACTATCCTCTGATGGATCATGTGAGTTGCGATGTCACATGGGAAGGATCATTAGGTTTTGTAGTTGAGCGGAAGGCCAGTTGAGGAAATATACCCTAGAACAAGTCAATAGTTGATAGCCATTTTCATGGAGCTGCCATTTCCATTAGGTAAACATAGCCCTTCTGTAACCACACTTTGAGAACCTGGAAGAGTCTTCATAGAAGAAAGGAGAATCAACATAGAGACTGCACCTGTGCATGAACGATGAGCTACATAACCTGATGGTTGTACATTGGTTATTCCTGGATCTGCGCTGTCTGGGTTCAAATCACTGTCCTGCCTCTTTTTGAGCTATTAAATCTTGACCAAGCGAATTCTTCAATCTCTTGGCATAACGTATTTCCCTTATGTAAAACAGAGACAGCATTTAAATTGATTAAGAGGATCAGAGGTGATTTGGCAATGTTTCAATGTTCAATGTGAAAGGCTTTATGGAACAGTATTTCTTCAAAGGGACCCGCATTGAGGTGGCAGCAAATTTGTCACTGTGAGATTTGCCTTCATCTCATGGTATGTGTTTGAGCCCTGGTTTCTCCACTTACGATTCAGCCTCTGCTGGTGCCCTAGGAAAGCAGTGCAGGATGGCATTAGCACCTGGGTTCCTCCTCTCTGGGAGACATGGATGGAGTTTCCAGCCCCGGCTTCTCCTGGCACAGATCTGCTTCTTTACAGCCATTTGGGGAGGGAACCAGTGGTAGGAACATTACTTTCTGTGTCTCACTTTCTCTTTTATTTCTTCCTCTTTCTGTTACTCGGCCTTTAAAATAAATCAATATTTTCTAAAATAAAAACATGCCTAAAATATTTCACAATAAGTAGTCCATTTTGAAAATTGTCTTTATAAAAAGAAACTGTGTTACAGAAAGTGGGATGCAAGTGTTATAGCTTAGCAATTAAGGAAACCTGACATGCCATGGAAAATCCGTGTAAAGTTAGCCCACTTCAACATGGGTTTCACAATCAAAAATATAGCTAACATGCAGTGATTTTTACAGGCCTGTTTTCCTTGTTATTACTCCCTGAATAGTACAGTGTGCCAACATTTTCATCTAACTTATCTTGCATGAGATACATAATCTGGAGATGTTTTAAAGGATTTGAAAGGAATATAGATTGTTGGAAAAAATTATGCCATTTTCTATGACACTTGAGCATCTGAGATTGATAAGCCATTGAGACCCCTTTCAGGCCAATTCCCTTAAAAACAGTCCCCAATAGACACTGAGGGACAATTGATGTCTCTTAAGACTATGATGATTACTTCCTTTCTAATTAAAGAATTGCTTGATAACAAATTTTCTCGTCAAATTTTATAACAACTCTGAATTGTATCAACGAAGGATAAAATGAAAAAAGAAATTTAGTGGCCAAGATTATTTTCATAAATATATAGTGATATTAATAAGAATACTGGGTAGAATTTATTGAGTATTTACTGTGCAGTGGGCTCTGTTGTAAGGTATTTACAGCAATTACCTTACATACTTTTCTAAGGGACTCTCACCCAGTTTGCACATAAGGGAACTGAAGCAAGAAATCAAAATTTGGCCAAGGTCATGTAGTAGTCAGAATGTTCATGTAAAAAATGTTTGCAAAATGAGGTGATAAACATTTCCTTAAAATTGATTTCTTCCTTTGATTCAATTTTTCACCTCTAGAATCTTTAGGCTCCAATCTCCTTCACATCTGGCCCATTGAAACCTGGTAGTGTATTACTATTAAAGAGTTTATGCTGGGCCTGGCACGGTAGCCTAGTGGCTACAGTCCTCACCTTGCACACACCTTGCACACATTTGCACTGGTTCTAATCCCAGCGGCCCTGCTTCCCATCCAGCTCCATGGTTGTATCCTGGGAAAGCAGTCAAGGACGGCCCAAAGCCTTGGGACCCTGCACCTGTGAGGGAGACCAGGAAGAGGCTCAGGGCTCCTGGCTTCTGAGCGGCTCAGTTCTGGTTGTTGTGGACACTTGGGGAATGAATTGACGGACGAAAGATTTTCTGCTCTGCCTCTCGTCTTCTTTGTATATCTGAATTCCCAATAAAAATAAATAAATCTTTTTTAAAAAGTTCATGTGATATTCAGAGGTAATTGTCAAGTCCTCTTGCCTCTGAGTATAGCATAATTAAATAGTTTCAGAGAAAATTATTTTACATTTATAAATAATAAATATCTAAAATATTTATTATATACTTACATAACTAAATGCTAACCATATTTGTGAATTTTAAAAACTTATTTTTTACTGATTATTTAGTGTAGTCTGAATTGTAGTAAGTATCTTGGTAAGTCTCCCAGGTTCACCCATGTTATCACTGAATTTTCTGTCTTATAGATGTGAATGTTCACATGTTCTTTAGCCGTTCTTCTGCTTTCGACATTTAAGTTGATTCCACATCTTGACAATTCTAAACGGTGGGCTGGAGAATCTTATTCTAAAATCCACCGAAGGGGCAGGTGATAAGTGTAGCAGATTGGTCAGATTCATGGTCCACATCAAAATGCCTAGGTTTATTGGACTGATGGCAATTTCTCAAATAATGTGGACCAAGGTACCAGTGGCCAGCATCAGCACAGCCTAATCCCAAACTTTTCGGTTATTTGTAGAACTAGTAGAAGGAACAAGTGTTTCTTCCTCTTTGTTCTGCTGTCCTTTGCTCTGTACATCTGCTTTCTGCAAATAAGTGATTAAAAAAAAAAAAAACTAAATGAAACCATTGACTACTTAAACCGAGTTAAGTCTTTTCTAGAAAGAATAATTTCCGTATGTATCGCTACATGAAACCCTAATGTCCCCAAATGGGGCCTTTCTCTTTTCTGGGTGCACCCTTCAGAGCAATGGGGGTATTCGAAGCATGGCTATTCGGCACTTTGGTGACTTACTCAATGACATGAATCGGTACATGTGCTTGCTGAGCCCTGTGGTCCTCGGCGCCCTGGTGCCCCTTGTCCTGTTTTTGGAGGATGTGGAGAAGAGAGTAGTAAAGGTATGGCCTTTAGGTCTTGTTCCTCTTACTCTTACAGAGAATTACAATGTTTCACAGAAGAGCAAATGACGGTTGCTCACCGCCCTTTCTCTGTCCCACAGGCATGTAGATATACATTGGAAATATGTGCCTCCCAGCTGAAGTGGTCAACATCCTATCTGAAGAAGGATGAAACATACTGTTTTGAGCGAGTGGTGCTAAACATCTGTAACAATCTAGTAAGCAGTCCTGCTTTGGACACGATAAGAGGGACAGACAAAATGTAGAGGCTATGCAGGGTGCTCAACTGTGTGATGGAAAAGGATGGGTCTTAAAAAGCATGAGGAAAAGATAATAAATGATCGCAACTAAAGCTTGAGAAGGGAAAATACTGGAATATTTCACCCAATCTTCCTTCACATTGATCCTCTTTTCTTGTGTGTTCAACCCGTGTCCTTTGAGTCTTGGGTGTTTGTAAAGGTAGGAAAAACATTCCAGGTCACTGAAATGGAATTGGAAGAATTTTGCTACTGTTCCCATGAAAAGCAGCATGAATTGCAAAGAGAGAGAGAGAGAGAGAGAGAGAGAGAGAGGGGTTGACCAATAATGATTGGAGATACAATATTTGGTCTGGGAGTCATGTCAGAAACACAACACTATCGCTTCTCGGCTTTTTGGCTAAGATCAAGTGTAGAAACTGAATATTATCTGCAAGCTAAAGAGTAGAATCGACGCGTGAAAACCCCACATTCAATCTGAGATGGCATAAAAGTCTTCTCTGCAATCCCTTCTGGAGGGAACGCATTGGCTTTCTAAGCAACTGAGAGTATCTTCATTTTTCTTTTTATTCTCAGCTGATTTCCTATAAGAGCTACGTTAAAGACTTGATATCTGATACCTTAGGATTCCTGGGGAGCTCCCGAACGTATCTGAAGAGAGCGGCAATTATTTTAATAGGTAAAGGAAACTCTTGTCTTCAACTCCTAATTTGTCTTTAAATGTTCAGAATGGGATAGCAGCTGGAGGGTTTCCTCCAGATTATGAATTTTCCGTGATAACCATGGACCTCTGCTTTCGTCATAAACTCCATAGTGAATAGTGACTTACAAAATGCCTTGTTTTTGTGGTACTCAGAGTATAGCTGTGCAATTATATTATTACATATGGCATGTTCAAGAAGACAGATTTTTGACAGATTTTTAGGAAAATGACATACCACTAATCCACATCCACCTCCCCAACTTTAAAAACATTATGCAGGCCCAGTGCAGTGGCCTAGTGGCTAAAGTCCTCACGTTGCATGTGCTCAGGATCCCATGTGGGCACTAGTTCTAATCCTGGCAGCTCTGCTTCCCATCTAACTCCCTGCTTGTGTCCTGGGAAAGCAGTCAAGGACAGCCCAAAGCCCTGGGACTCTGCACCCACTTGTGAGACCCAGAAGGAGCTCCTGGCTCCTAGCATTGGATCAGCATGGCTCTGTCTGTCTGGACACTTAGGGAGTGAATCAACGAATAGAAGATCTTCCTCTCTGTCTCTCCTCATCTCTGTATATACAACTTTCCAATAAAAATTAAAAATATTTAAAAGAAAACACTATGCAAAAAAAATGATTTGCAACTTATTTGATTTATTTATTTTTATTGGAAAGGCAGATCTACCGAGAGAAGGAGAGACTAACGATTCCCCATCCACTGTTTCACTCCCAAGTGGACACAATGGCCGGAGTTGAGCCAAGCTAAAGCCAGGAGCTTCTTCTAGGTCTCCCATGTAGGTGCAGGGTCCCAAGGTTTTTACCCATCCTCTACTTCTTTCCTAGGCCACATGCAGGGAGTTGGATGGAAAGTGGAACAGCCAGGACACAAACCAGTGCCCAAATGCGACTCCAGCACATGCAAGGCAAGGGTTTCACCACTAGAGCACCATGCACAGCCCAAGAATAACAATGATTTAAAATTATGTACAAACAACACCTTTAGTAAAGCTTGGATCTCCTTAACCATAAAATACAATAATTAAGTAAAGCTACATTACCCAATAAAATTTTGTCTAAGAAAAACGGGGTGGAGAAAGTCCAGAAAGACACTAAAAAGAAAACAAGTAAAGTTTTTGATCTTCTGTACTCTGGTAAATTTGTTCCCATTAGATTATCACTTGGAATGTTAAGATAAAGAATGCCTCATTTTGAATTCCCAACTGGGTACATATAGCTTAACTTCTCCTGTTTTTCCCCATGGAATAGAAGGGAAAACAAGGATGAAGGAATACTTATAGGGAGCAAATATCTCAGGGACGGTAAATAACATGCCTGTTAAAATATTAACAGCTTCTTTGCTTACAAAATTGCAGTATCAACTCTAAGTTAACCTGCAAGAGTAATTGAAACTATAGCCAAAGAATAAGTAAGAGGGGTTAGTCCTCTCAGGAGCATTAGCAAAGCTACAGCTATATAGTCATGTAGAGTGAATGCAAAGAACAGCTTAATCAGACCAAAATAGCATCCAGAAAGAACCCCTCGAAGATGCCATAGTTTACAAAGTGAAACATTGACTTAGTCTAACAGCAATACAAATATAGACTATTCCTTGAGAGCCTGGTGAGATGGCCTAGTGGTTAACATCCTCACTTTGAACATGCCAGGATCCCATATGGGTACCAGTTCTAACCCCAGCAGCCCTGCTTCCCATCAAGCTCCCTGCTTGTGGCCTGGGAAAACAATCAAAGAAGGCCCAAAGCCTTCGGACCCTGCACCTGAGTGGGACACCGGGAAGAGCTCCTGGCTCCTGGGCTCAGATCGGCTCAGAGGTGGCCGTTGCAGTCACTTGGGGAGTGAATCATTGGATGGACGATCTTCCTCTCTATCTCTCCTCCTCTCTATATGCATCTGACTTTCAAATAAAAATAAATAGATTTTTTTTTAAAAAGAATATTCCTTGAATATTCCAGGGGGTACCTACTTAGTCACTTGAAATCTTAAAAATCATTTTTAAATTTCTTCTTACATTTGAATACATTCCAAATGGTATTTAATTTTGATAAATGTTTTTCGAGTACTGAAAATAAAATCACAATAGTAAATAAAGTTGCATAAGATAACATGGACAATCTTCACAATTATGGAAATAGTTGATCTTTCAAAGTAGCAATTAGTCCAGGTACTATAAAGATTGATGACTGTACAAAATGAAGAATTTTTACAGTACAAAGCTATCATAGATAAAATCAAAAGTCCAGCTCAAATGAATTATTTGTATGCATTGCAGATAAAGGATAGATGTCCATTGACTGAGGAATTCTTAAACACCCCAAAATGTGCCAGGGTTGTATATTAGTCCAAAAAAAATTAACACAATAAAATGTAAAGAGGACAAAAAATCTTATTGAAAAATGAGCAGAAATATGAAAAAAAAATTTGCTTAGCTCGTAAATATAAAAGTATCACAACTTTATCCAAAAAGTGATGCATAGTGACAATGAAATACTGTTTATGAAACTGAAAAAAATCCCAGACTTTTACACTGTACAGTATTGGCCCCGGGTGCAGGAAGCATGGAATCATTCATTTAACTTGTTAAGAGAATAATTGTTAAATTGCAGAAAAGGAAATAACAAAATATGAATGAAGATGTGAAATGCATATTCTTTTGACTTGGTAATCTCTCCAGAAAACTTATCCTTGGCTTTTCTCATACAGTAAAGAACAACACGCAGCTGTGAATATTCATTTTGTATTTCTATCTGTCCTGAGCAGGTGGCTCTTATGTTTTTTGATTACTTTTTTAAGAGGGAAAAAGGAAGCATTTTTAATAACATCTAAAACCACATTCATACAGTCAAAACATTCACATATTTGCATGCATGCATAGAAAAGGACTTGCTGAATAAGTCAAAGAGCAATGTTTAAACAGTCCTTATTATATCACACCAAACTCTGCTTACATGTAACCAAACTGTCTATGCTTTACGTACATATATAAAAGAAACTGTGCAGAAAAGCGCCTGAGGTAGCTGGAGGTGAAGCAACACAGGACAGGACAGCATACTGTTCTTATTCTGCAGCATCGTGATGCTTGAACTTTGAGCAAGAACAGAGGAGTCATTCCATCAAATTTTAAAATAGAAATGCATCAACTCTATCACATACCTTATGCTTATTAATTGAGAATATAAATATCTTTTTTTCCCATAGGTTTATTATTTATTATTTTTTGATGCAGTTTAATTGGCCCTGGGGTCTCCCTTCCCCTTCCTCCAAGCTTCTTCCCCTTTATTCTCCCCTCCAGTCTTTTTTTTCTATTGAGTATTTTTTTACATTTTATTATTATTATTATTAACATTTTATGGTATTTCCTTTATCCCAGCCTCAATTCCCCCTTCCCAACTAGTTCCTCTATGTCATTATGAAAGTATAATTCTTCATACTCAGTCATATGTCCATCATTGCAGGCATGGACAATGGCAGAGAGTCCGGCATCCTATTGTCAAGATATAGTAAACAGTTGCATTGTAACAGTAGCTGTGAAATGGAGACTAACATATCCAGATGTGAGGATACAATGTAGTATGCATTTCTACTTCCAGACAATGATGGACTTACAGTGAAACTGTTTCTGATTACTTTTGACAGGGTTACATGGATGATGAAACAAAAAAAAAGGGAAAAGATGGGTTTTCCAACTGGGTCAGTACAATTTTGAAAGCTTCCCTCAAAGTTGAATCAGTGTTCATTTTCAAGTTACAATGGCCAAAACTATCAATTCAAGAGATGTTAGGAAATATGGTTATTTAAATGAACAAGAAAGGAATGATGAATTGGATTGACAGCTTATAGTGTGCCGCAACTGTCCATAAAATTTGATAGCTTGCATTTAAGTATCTTGACCTCAATTCTTAGGGAGTTAGGGAGGGAGAGGCGGTGGAGAGAGAAAGAAAGAGGGAGGGAGAGGTGGTGGAGAGAGAAAGAAAGAGGGAGGGAGGGAGAGAGGACTGAGTAGGGGAGAGAGGGGAAGAGGGAGCGAGGGAGGAGTGTGACAGAGAGGGACAGAGAGGGGAAGGAAGGAGAGATGGAGGGAGAATGAGAGAAAAAGAGAGATTGATTGAACCTCATTCATTGGTCCAGTCCTGAACTGCATACAACTGCATACTCAACCTGGCTAAATCCAGGAGCCAGGAACTTAAGCCATGTCTCCCATATGGGTGACCTGAGCTCATTTTGTTTATTTATTTTTAACCTGAACTCATTTTTTTTTTGAGCCTTCACCTGCGATGCCTCAGGTATTCATAAGCAGGAAGTTGGAATTGGGAATGATGCTGAGGATGGAACCTAAATATTTAGTTATGCAGTGTATGTGTCTTAACTTGATATAAAAACATGTGAGATATTCATGTGACCAAAAGTTCCATAAATGACTTATTAATACCACCAAAAATGTAAATCAATACCATGATAAGATGCTACCACAAAATCTATAAGAATCACGTAAAAGAAAAATGTTAGTAGCAAGAATTAGAGCAAGTAGTCTCCTTGTCTCTTTCTGGCACTCTGAAAAACTCTTTTCAGTTTTTGAGATAACATATTTTAAATTTATGTTACAGTAAGAAGACTTAATATATCACCAAATATGTAGCTTAACAACTAAAGAGCAAGAAGACCTTAGTTTAATGTTTATTGTTTAGCCATAATCGATAATTGAATGAACAATAATCATTTCACATATAAGCAGTAAATTTTAAAGTAATTACAAATATGTAAAACCACAGTGATGTGTAACACTCAAGCATTTGTTTGGGAAAAGTATAAAGTCAACGTCTATAAGACGATATTTGCGGCACTATTGATACACACAGGCTTTTTGTTTGCTTCCTTGCTTGCTTTGTTTTAAAATTGAATGTAAGAAAATGCATTATCCATCAACCAAATTCTTAGTTGCATATAGAAAAAACTTAAAATCCATACACCAAAAAAAGTTCCATCACAGTACTCTTCATAATAGCTTTGTACTAGTCAGCTTATCGTTACTTTAACAAAATAGCTTAGGCAGGCTAACTTTATGTGTTTGGGTTCAGATCTGAAGAGTCACAGTCTTAGACTGTAAAGTCTGCGTTTCCTTGGCCTTTGGTGCTGAACTTCTGCTGGCCCAGTTCCTGAGGTATACAGGGAATCCTGTGGCAAGAGACAGGGAGCGAATGTGTCTGTGATGTCTCTGTGGTGTGTCTGCTCACAAAGCCACCCGGCTGCAAACAGAGGGCTCCACTATCAGATCATAGCGCAAGGTGGTCACTTCTGAGGGACTCAGCTTCAAACATCGTAACTGGATTCCGGTTCTACACTCATAAGCAGATCAAGTACCATTAATAGAAGATTTTAGCGACTGAAATCCTGCGTGAATTGAGGAGACAAACATGTAAACCATAGGAAAGCCCAAATCAGAAATAATACCAACACCCACCATCCACGAAACAGATTTGTAAATGTTGCATTTGAAAGACAGAATATCACATAGCAGAGTTGAAGAAACTCTTCCCTATAATAAGCATGGTCATAAATAAGGAATAAATAGGCCAAGGTGTTTTACTACGTTAATTGGAACATTTGCCAACCACTGCCATGATGCAAACGGAAATGGACTATTATTTCAAGGAGGGAAATGGAGGAATCTCTTAAAAGAACACAGAAAGAAAAAACAAAACAACGTATCTGGAAAGTGGAGGAAGAGACTGGAAGGAGCTTGCGGGAGGATTCTGGAATGCTGGTAATGTTATGTGGAGTGGCCAAGAAGAGACCTGGACATATTCAGGTTGTGGTCTCTCACTGAGCTGCGTGATGTGGCTAATACAAGTTCATATACATGCGTATTTCTCAACAAACAGTTGTAGTAAGTACTAATTATATAAAAGTATTAAAAGATAAACTAAAGCTGCCTTTTTTTTTAACAAAGTAGGAAAAGTAGCCAAATAACAGGCAAGAATGCATTTTCATGGAATGTTTGGGATAATTTCAACTTCCCTTTGTGCACAGGATACTTGGCAGCAATGGGTGACCATTTACTGTTCAAAAACGAAATGGAAGTCATGTTTGAGGGTGAGTGCTGGGGCTATCCTGAGGTCCATCTGAAAACCCAGGCTGAGGAGTGTCAGGTTGGCTAGCAGGGGAACCAAGAGAGGACTGCCTTAGCGATTCTTTTCTTTCTCCTCTCTTTTCTACTTTTCTTTCATCTCCTATTTTTATTTGAAAGGCAGATTTTGCAAAGAGAGAAGAGAATTAGAGAAGTCTTCCACCCATTGGTTCACTCCCCAGTGGCTGCAATGGCCAGATCTGAGCTGCAGTGTGGTGCCAGCTTTTCTATTCTCTATTCTTTTTGCTTACTCTATCTTCCTGTTTCAGTCTCTTTGTGTATCCTTTTCATGGGCATCCTGGAGAATTTGGGCACCACAGGAAGTCGAGGATTCATGCAGTCTCTTCCAGCAACCACTTTTCAGCGATTTGTATTTATGTGACAGCTGCAGATTCAGAAACAAGGTGGAGTCTCCCCCACCCCGAGAGTTTACATTTTAGTGGTAGCCATGTATATTATACTTGCAGGAAATGGAATTTAAAAAGGTAACAGCCTTGTATTAAAATATTTGGGTCTTCGGCATCTTTCTCTCTCTTAGCCTCCATTATTCCATCATCACGATAATAAACATGTGCATTAGAAAATACAATGGCTGTCTGCCATCATTGTCTACTAAAAATAGGCTTCTTTTTTTTTTGCTGTAGCTTCAAGTTTTTTTTTTTTAATTTTTTTACTGTAGTTTTACTGGAGATTTCCATTGATCCCTGGTTATGTGCATAACTACCCCTATTATCAACATTGGCTTTGTTACAGCTAGTGAAACTCCTTAGGGAAATTGTTCTCTTTCTTCTGTTTCACTCATTTGTTCATTCTCTCACTCATTCAACCCATATTGACTGCTCTGTGACAAGCACTTGAATTCTCCCTCTTCGTTAAAGTCTTTTCTTTCTCTTCTGCCTTTCCCATCCTCCTCTTTTCTACATTTCCTTCTTTTTCTGTTTCTTTTATTAAAAACATTGTGATTTCCCAGGGCCCACTATCTAGATAGGATAATATTAACACTTTACTGCATATATGATATCGGGTATGTTATAAAAGATCCAGTACTAAGTGTTTATTATAAAATCTATTGTAACAGTTTGCAACTTTTTTTCCCATTTACTCACAAATATGCCAAGTTATGTTTGAGTCTGTAGCACCGTGTCAATAGGCAGATAGCATTCATTTTATGCTTCTTTATTTTAAAGCCATGACTTGTCATTACTGTGACTAATATCTGTACTTAATATTCACAAACATCTTCGCATGCCTGTGTGGAGTGGTGTGAGAAAAAGGGCAGGCGGGGAGCAGAGGAGCACTGGGAGTTGGTGATGGGGCTGTTCCGGAAGATGCCGTGAGTTAAGGGTGTCTCTGTCATTTCAGCTATTGAACGCGTGCGTCGGGATAAAGACCCCGAAATCCAAGACTTGGCAGAAAAAACTCACGGTATTTTGAAGAACATCGCTCACAGCATGATCTCCTCCACCATTAAACAAAGCTTCCAAAAAATGGTCAAGAACATCTACGTGAAAAGATTGAAGCCTATTTATTATTATAATTGGCCCCAAGATGAAACAGACAGCCCTAAAGATAGGGAAACTGAGAAGGAAGGCTGCGTGGAAGAGAATCCAGAGGCTTACCTGATGAAGCATATTGATGACGAATTCAAATTTTGAAGAACCACATTTCAATTTTCCTTCTTGATAGCTTGATTTTGTTCATAAATGCTTCTCTAAAGGATGCTTTGAATAGAATATTTTTTTAAAAAAAACCCTGAAGAATCTGATGTCTCCCTTTAATTGATAGTATGTGGAAGTGCTATGCCACACCCTCTAAGTGAATGGAAAAAAAAAAATATTTTCGTCCCTTGGGATCCAAAGGTGATTGGTCAGCCATACCCATGGATACCAAAGTATACAGAAGCTCAAGTTCTGATTGCACATAATCTATTTGCACATGCCCCATAGAGAGCACAGCTAGGAGACAGCAAAGCAATGCAGGTGTGGGTAACCAGAACCCAGGACCTGAGCCGTGATTCGTGTCTCCAAGGTCTGCACTGGTGAGAAGCTGCAGTCTGGAGGCAGAATCAGGATTCAAACCCAGGTGCTCAAAATGAGATATGGGCATCTTAACACAGTGCCATTCCCGCTCTTCTTCCCACAAACTAATCTTACAAGACTTACTTATGTATTTGAAAGCAGAGTGACCTAGAAGGAGAGACGCAGTAACAGAGAGATCTTCACTCTGGTTCACTCACCAAAGTAATACAACAAACGCTACCATGGAAGGCTGAAGCGACATGCCTTAATATTCATGGGGGTGTTGGGGTTCCAGTATTTGGGGTATCTTCCATTGCCTTCCCTGGTGCATTAGTGGGGAGCTAGGTAGCAGGGGTCAGAAGTGAAGCAGCTGGGACTAAAATCAGCACCTAGATGGGGTGCTGCTGTTGTAGGAAGCAGTTTAACTCACTGCACCACAACACCATCCTTTATTATTTCTTTAAGATTTAATTATTTATTGGAAAGTCAGATATACAGAGAGGAGGAGAGACACAGAGGAAGATCTTCCCTCCAATGATTTACTCCCCAAGTGAGCGCAATGGCCGATGCTATGCTGATCCGAAGCCAGGATCCAGGAACTTCTTTTGGGTCTCCCACATGGGTGCAGGGTCCCAAGGCTTTGGGCCATTCTCAACTGCTTTCCCAGACCACAAGCAGGGAGCTGGATGGGAAGTGGAGAAACAGGGAGCTGGATGGGAAGTGGAGCTGCCGGGATTAGAACTGGCGCCCATATGGGACCCAAGCGCATGCAAGGCAAGGACTTTAGCTGCTAGGCCACGCCACAGGGCTCCAACACCATCCTTTAAACTATAGCTAGATTGCATGAAATGTTAAAGTCAAGTAAACGCTAAACAGATAATTGCTAAATCTTACTATCTAGGAAAAGGCAAGAAAAATCTACATGTTCAATATAGTCAGAATTACACTTTTACAAATATTTCCAATCTGTGATTGGTTAAATCCATGCAAATAGAATATACAAACATTGGAGGACTGATTGTGTAAGAAAATTTTGATTGAAATAGGCAAGGTTATTGTTACCAGCACGATGACAATGAGTGTGGTCATTTATATCTTGCTGCTTTTACTATTGTCTGAGGTAGCACTTAGCAAAGAGAAGGAGGAGGTTGGAGGGGTAAGAGAAAGCAAGGGGACATGTACTGAGCAATATGAGGTACCGAGGAAATTTGAGTGTCCGGGAAAGCTCAGACACGTAAGACTGCTTTGCTGGCAGCCAGCTCCAGCCGAGTTCGGAACTCGAGAAGGATGCATGGAGTAGGAGTAGAGAGACACGAATTGGACCACTACAATTCCAGGATCATAATGGACAATGCCAGAAAGCTGTCCGCTTTATTTATACAGAAGCAGTGACAAGCTCTGGCACAGACTTTTAACATCACAGTCACGTGGGTGTTTCTAAGGATAATTCTGCCGCTTGTTTCACCTTAAAGCAGGATGTTATCCATCCTGACCCTGTGGTCAGGAAGTTCTCAATAGATAGTATGTACAATCCTCATTCTGCAACTTAATCTTCTTTTTTTAAAGATATATTTATTTTTATTGGAAAGTCAGATGTACAGAGAGGAGGAGAGACAGAGAGGAAGATCTTCCATCTGATGATTCACAGTCCCAAGCAGCAATGGCTGGAGCTGAACCAATCCAAAGCCAGGAGCCAGGAGCTCTTCCAGGTCTCCCGCACGGGTGCAGGGTCCCAGGCTTTGGGCAGTCCTCAGCTGCTTTTCCAGGCCACAGGCAGAGAGCTAGATGGGAAGCGGGGCTGCAGAGTTATGAACCGGCGTCCATATGGAATCCCAGGCATGCAAGGCAAGGACTTTAACCACTATGCTATTACGCCGGGCCCTGCAACTTAATCTTGAATCAGTTGAGGGAGGAAATGCATCACAGAAGAAGGGAGCTAAAGATTAAGGATGGTCAATGGGGGCAGCAAAGACAGAGACAGCATGAAATGTAAAAGGTGATTTTGCTAAGATGTTATCAGCAGCATCAACTTCCAAGCTCACACTAATAGTGAAGACCAACTGCACCGTGGCAAACAATGGCTAAATACATTACGGAAATCCTAGCAGGGTTGTCTGGGTGTCCATGCACAGCGAGGTGGAAATGCTTTCAGGTGGATGCAGAGACATCCACCAGGCCCTGCCTTGTAGTGGGAAATTCCTTGTGGCCCTGTCTGCAATGGACCAATACTCTTCACGCCTTCGTGTCTTCCACACGCACTGCATGGCCCTCAGCATTGTCGTGCGTGTGGGATTGAGCTTTTTGAAACAAAGATCAAATGGTAAATTTCAGTGTCGCACGTTGCCATTAGGATTCAATCAAATACACTCCCCTGTGTCCTGGATTATAAAGCCTCGTCAATTCACACTCGTCTTTCATTCCTTCCACCGTAACATACACCTGTCCTTGTATCCCCACCTGAGCATGTGCGGTTCCAACTGGAGGAAACTTGCAGTTAGACAAAATTCCTTTGCCCCCTGCTGCCGTGAGTGATGTGTTCATATAAAGGTTCCCTTCTCTGCCGGATCACCTCCCTGGTGCGCAGCAGCCCATTCCACCTTGCCTTGGATTCTCCTTGAGCATCTCTGCCTTCTGCACTGACTGTGGTTAAGATGAAGGACACGAGCTTCTCCTGCTAGACACCCAGTTCATCACTGTCAGTGCTGGAGCCAGTTAGAGACAGACACGATCATGAACATGTGGATGCTGCGTCATTCCAGCTCTTCCTGCTTCATAACCCACACACCTCTGCCTTGTGGATTTCAAGCTCCAGCACGGCATGAGCAGATAACGGTATTCAGGCAGCATAACTTGCTCCCTCCCGCAATTACTTCAGATCCGAAGCCTTACTGTGCTTCTCTAATTGAATCTTGAATGATATAGGATTCCCCTTTAATTGAGTCCCACTTTTACTGAGTGAGCATCGCTCCTATGTTTTGCATTAAATTGCAATGATCGCACTTGGGATTGCATTTACCTAACTATGGTAAAATGATTTATGCTCTTCCCCTCTGTCCCACAAAACTGAAGTTTCTTGAAGGCACTGTTGTATGCCACACTTAGTGTGTACTCTGATACTCAGCATATGCTTAATGAATACCTGCCAAAGAATGAACCGATAAGGGCCTGGCTCAATAGCATAATGGTTAAGGTCCTTACCTTGAATGCTCTGGGATCCCATATCGATGCCGGTTCTAATCCTGGCAGCTCCACTTCCCATCCAGCTCCCTGCTTGTGGCCTGGGAAAGCAGTTGAGGATGGCCCAATGCCTTGGGACCCTGCACCTGCCTGGGAGACCCAGAAAGAAATTCCTGGCTCCTGGCTTTGGATTGGTTCAGCTCCAGCCATTGTGGCCACTTAAGGAGTGAACCATTGGACGGAAGATCTTCCTCTCTGTCTCTCCTCCTCTCTGTACATCTGCCTTTCGAATAAAATAAATAAATCTTAAAAAAAAGAATGAACCATTAAATGCAGCACCCTCATGCTCCAGTAACAATTCTACATATTTAAGAATGCTACTTAATAATATTAATAGTGAAATAATAGCTTATTTTAGTTTGCTCACTAATCCATATTATGTTACCTTGATGTTTTAGAAATCACTTTACAACATTAGATCAAGTGTCTTCATCCACTTGTTAAACTTTCTAAACTAGCAAGATCCCTAAAAAGGATAAGTTAAACCATGATTTCCTTCAATTATATGTCTTAATTATATAAATTGTATATTTATATATTAATTGTATATAATTAATTCCTAGTGCCTAGAATCTGCAAATCTGTTGCTTTCCACAGCAAACGGAGCTTTGAAGATGTGATTAAGCATCTTGAGATAGAGAAACTATCCTTGATTACTGAGGTGGGCCCAAGACATCATAAAGGACTTTATGAAAGCAAGGTGGGACGATCAAAGAGAAAGGAATGTTTAAAGATGGCGGATGGGACCATGGCTCAGGGAATGTGACTCTAGAAACCAAAAAATGGCAAAGAAACGGCTTCTCAGAGTTTCCAGAGCAAGACAGGCCCTGATGACACTGAGTGCTTTATTTACCTTCTCCATTTCATTTCCCAAATGGTCTTAATATTCAGATCTCATCTCTGCTTCCATCTCATACACAAGGGATACGAATCTCCCCCTGCAGGCTGGGGAGGTGCACATTTGGAGTCAGGAACGACAAAGTGAGAGGTGTTCATCATTGGACCTTTGTATTGGCCTGTGCGTGCGTCTATTTTTCTTGCTTGAAAGAAGTCCATCTTTCACGTTAGACTCATTTGGATCAGTTTTTTTTTTTTTTAATAATCCAGACAGTTTACACAATCTTTGGGCTTGAGGCCTGGGCATCACTGCTTTCTAGAAATCTGGGAATGGAAGAGTCTATGGAGAAAACAGTATTATGAGTCAAGTATTGGTCAGTCCTCAAGATTGGATTTAGACATTTCTATATCCCCAGCATGTGTGTGGTATGTGGGGGAAAATGAACTTCATAAAGTTTATCAGTAATGTTATGGTAAGTGGAACCCATGTATTTATAAGCAGGGTTTATTTCATGTATACCACTGTACTGGGAAACAAGGATGAGATGAAGCATTTCCATGGGCAGCAGTACAGCAGCAGGCTAATCCTCTGCCTTATGGTACTGGTATCCCATTCGGGTACCATCTCAGTTTATGGCTGTTGTTTCACATCTGAACTTA